GGGTCAAAAATGGGGGTTCCTATTTAAAAAAACAAAGTTGACCTTGAAATGACCTTGAACATGACCTCCAAGGTCAAATCCAAGGTCATAGAAACATGGCCCCCTCAAAGTTGAGTAACTTTTGTCTGAAACTTTTTTCGATAAAACTCACTCCAATCTAGATATCTGAGTGGATCACTTAAAATGGGCCACCCTGTATATATATATATATATATATATATATATATATATATAATCGTAAAAGTAATAGCACAATAATAATTCGAGGTGTGTTCAAAAAGTAAGGTGACTTTTCAAATTTCACGGGCAACGTACTTTCGATTATCGATTTTTTTGTTTTTTTATGTTGGTACACTCTTCCCGAACATCTGTACCAAGTTTCAAGTGTATAGCATTTTTTGTTTGGTTGTGAGAGGCGTAAAGGTTATAAGTGTTTTGCGTGCTCGGCGATTTCTTGCTATCGAAAAATATGGATCAAAGGATTTGCATCAAATTTTGTGTAAAAAATAAAATAAAATGCTCCGAAACATTTGAAATGTTGACGGTGGCATACGGTAAAACTGTTCTGAGTAAAAAAAATGTTTACAAGTGGTACAAACTCTTCCAAGATGGCAGGGAAGATGTCAATGACAAGCCTCGCTCTGGACGCCCAAGCACGTCAACAACTGATAAAAACGTTCAAGCAGTAAAAAAAATTGTTTTGGAAAATGGTCGAACCACTATCAGAGAAGTTGCTAAGGATGTTGGTATATCGTTTGGCTCGTGCCAGGACATTTTTTCTAACGTTTTGGGCATGAGACGTGTGTCAGCGAGAAGCAATACGAAGAAAACGCCCAGAATTGTGGAAAAATAATTCATGGCTTTTGCATCACGATAATGCTCCTGCTTACTCATCTTTGCTTGTGAGAGATTTTTTGGCCAAAAACAACACCACAATCATGCCTCAGCCATCATATCCACCGGATTTGGCCCCATGTGACTTTTTCTTGTTCGCAAAACTAAAGAAACCTATGAAAGGACGGAGATTTGCAACGATTGAAGAGATAAAGACTGCATCGCTGGAAGAGCTCAAGGCTATACCGAAAAGTGCTTATGAGAAGTGCTTTGAGGATTGGAAAAACCGTTGGCATAAGTGTAACTGTATCTGAAGGGAACAACATAAATATTGATAAATAAATAAATATTTTTTCTTAAAAATACAGTCACCTTACTTTTTGAACACACCTCGTATATCATTTGACTATTTTCTTATCATGCATATGGTACACGTCTGATGATCGATGCTCGACAAACCTGTACTATGGTGAGAAAAGACAATCGAATTATTTATTATTGTACTTATATTAATAACATAGAAGATCTACATGTTTTATCGTTGTTTATTTGAACAACTGATTATTGAACTGCGCTATTGAGGATACACCCAAACGTTAAACGAACGGTTAATTGTTCATTTTAATAATACACGTAGCGTCCCAAATCCGTTGTTCGTAGACGGATATGTTCTTACGTAAAAAGCCTCTAATAAATTCCTGCCAATAAAAATATCAATATTTAAAACTTTTTTCAAGTTCTACTCACAAATATAATTATACTTTGCTTGTTAATATAAGCTATACTTGAGGTTTTAATTAGCGGGAGAGTTGGGATTTTGAAAATGTTAAAATTTTCAATCCATTATGTCTGAAGAATTTCAAATTTAAGATATCTTGGCTCAATAATCAAGAAGGCTATAGAAAATAGAATATTCTAGCTCAATTTTAGGTGCGTAAATTTAAATATAAATTTACAATTAAAATATTCAATTTTTCAATTCTGCTCGTTTATTTCCTTGAATAGATTTTGTTGAAATAAAGGAAAATATATGCAAAATATATTTATTTTTGACACTTCTCGCACTAATATCAAAATGTACTTTTCTTCAAGGTGTAAGAACTTACATAACGTAATTTATTTAAAATATTGGCTTTATAAAAAACAGGCATTTCTTGTTTCTTATGATCAATATTTAATAAACGTAATCGAATTTATTCGGAACCCGGTACAAATATTGCTAATGTTTTCAAAGTATGAACCGAGTTCGTTGCACGAACTATTTGATTCATCAGAACTTGATTTCGAATGATTTTTTTCACATTTTAATTTTTATTTTTGCGTAGGTTGTCGTCAATAAGTCGACTTGAGTACGAATAAGAATCTTTTGTAAGCATTTATCTGACACATATTTAATGGATAGAGAATTAGAGAATGATTCACATATTTAACACAATCAACTTTATCATAATAACTGCGTAAACATGAAATGAAAATACTTTTTTCTGTCAATATATAGGCACGAAAAATATGCCTCTGATTCAGAAGCACGAGCAGCTGTATCGATATATGACTAACTACATGATTGAACATAGTTTGCATTTGGTAGACATGTCCATTTTCCCTAATACTCACATTTCTAGCAGTGGTTACACTTCTTACAACTATCTCGAATGAGGTGAAAAAGTCGTCAATCTTTAATAAATGTGATATTTGGTCCTGCCAAATTCAAATCTATTTCAATTACACATGAATATGAAATTGCATTTGTACGTTTTACGAAAAACTACTTGTAGGTGTACGTTCAATAGACTATAGTTATGAAGCATTATTGCTGTTATTTATTACTTTGAACATAATGGCAGAGTTAGTTGCACAGCCTGGACACGTGTGTAGGGATTCATGGATAAAAATTTCGCAGTCAACACAAAACGTCCGGTTGCATTTTTCACAAATGTATACCTGAAATATTATTCACATCAATGAGTAAAAATGTTAATAAGTAATTGATTTTGATTTTAGAACAACATTTAAGTACTTTTTTATCACTGTCAACAAATGCCTTTTGGCAAGCATAACAATTTGTTGGATTTCCTTCATAAGTTACTTCAGTAAAATGTTTTATAGGAAATAAATAATGATATGATCGAGCTAAATGTGGTGCAGACACAAGGGTAAGTCCACATGATCTACACTCTACAGGTAATTCACAATGTTTGGCAAGGCACTGAGGACACAAGTAACCAGGATTGGTAAATCTCGAACTGTCATCTGGTTTATCTGCATGACTGAAAAAGAATATTTATTAATTTAAATGTATAGTTCAGTAAATTATATGACTTAAATATATTACCTACCACATGCAGACAGCTACAGATGCTTCAGTTGCAGATGTCTGCAATGCATGATGTGGAAAGCCCATTTTGACTAGAGCAGCATCTAATCTTGTTGCAGCTGGTGGTGGATCAATATGTGCTGTTAATTTTTCTTTGAAATGTTTATCGTCTAAAACAACTCCATGTTCACCACCAGTATTAACAGCCAGTATTTTACAAATATTTAATTCTGCGGCTAAACCAATAACGCTACACCTAACTCCTTCTGTTTTTAATGCCTTCAATGCACGAGAAATGGTCATTTATAAGAGGATAAACGAGTACTACACAATAGAAAATAAGAACCTGTATAGTCTCTTCAATATCTCCTGGATCACAAGTTGTTAAAGAACCCATAATCAATAAAATTTCTTTACTTGCATGGGTTGGTAACATTTTTAAAGTTTTTAATGCTAATTCCACAGAGTTCTGAAGTGATGGTTCACCAGTGAAAGATGTGTGTTGCAGATTTTTTAAATCCTGGAAGTATATTAAAAAATAAGTTACTTTTTTCAAATTTGAAAATATTTTGAAATTAGTATTCATTAGAAAAGAATATTCTTTAGTATACCGATATAGGCTTTTTAGAGTTCCCAGTAAGGTCCGTAATTTTTTCAGCTCTTTTATTTCTTGAAATAATGATACCTAACTGACTAATAGGATTCTGATAAAAAAATTCATCAATAAAACCTTCTAACAGCTGAAAAGGAATGAAATTAAATACAGTGTTGCTATATTATTGATCAAAGTAGTTGTTCTTTTAAATACCTTTAATGTGCAAAGAAAACGTGTTGGTTTTAAATCTTGATTTGTCATTGATTCAGAACAGTCAAGAATTATGTACAGATGCCGCATCATACCTAAACGTGAACCTTCTTTTCTTTCTAGCATCCGTTTTCTTTTGGCTTTATGAATAATGTCTGCCACAGAGGCTTCCAACATTCCATGGTCATCTTCCTGGATTGCTTCCCTAAATAAATGATACATACAGCTATAAGTAAAACAAAGAAAAAATGGACTAGGACTAATAAATTAGATTTATAAAACATATACCATGTTTTTTCGTAGCCTGTCTCCCACCGATATTCCTTTTCTTCTTCTTCATCTGCCATGGCTATCTATTCCTGAATTGAAATATACATTAATAAAAGTTGCCCAGTTTTAATAGTGAACTTTACTGATTTAATTATGTTTTAAAAAAATCAAAGATTAATGTTTTTCTCATTTAATCAAAATTTTTATTATTGAAATTTCTAATAATAACAGAAGTTCTCTTCACAACATATTCTCAGCAAATATTTTCCAATAATAACATACTTAGCAGGTAATCTTAAAAATATATAAATTAACATTTCAATAGAAAATGAACGGCTTTTGTAAACAAATCGTTACAGGTTAGTTTAGTATAAAATTATATAAAAATATTTATCATCCGGACAAGAAAATTAAAAAATTATTAACTGTTGTTCTTACTTTGTTATCTCTTTTTCCTACACTAGAATACTTTAAACTTTTTAATGAAAATCCGTGTATCTAAAAATTATTCACAAAATTTCATTGCACAGCGTTGGGCGTATCAAATCAATACATAAATTATTGTTAGCAGAGCAACTCTGCAATTAACAGTAAACTAAGCGCGATCACGATATTAGTGTGTCACCCAGTGTCACCGACAGGCGACAGTCGCGACATTGCGTGGACGCCGCTAGTTCGTAGTCGTCGTATATCGATAAAGATTCCTAATTTATCAACCTATATATATATATATATATATATATATATATAACAAACAATGAATTCGTATTGTCATGAAACTTTGGCTCACATATGCTTTCATGTAAAATACAATATAGCAACTGCTGGAAAGGTTTAATGTAGGGACGAGAAATTAATTATATTACACAATCACTTTTTTTCTGAAATAATTTTGTTATATAAATGAGTAATTTTCCCAGCAGTAATGCGTTATAGTATTTTTCGATACTATAGTGCGAGATGTTTGAGTCTGAGGACATGTAGCGGTCTCATGGTCCACACATCCTCAACAGATGGTGTCGACCATCTGTGAGCGACAGGAAATTCGCTCGTTGAATTTATGAACCCAGATAGCGACTACGTGTTATCTGGGTATGAGGCAGGTGTTATCGGCCATCCAGCCTCAGGTGACGAGTCCAATCGGGAACAATATTGGAAAGAAACGCTTCTTCTGCCTTACCAATCTCATTCTTCTTCCCACCTCATGAGAGTCATGAGTGTGAGCCTGGATAAGCATTATCAATAATTAATATATCGTCAGCTATATATCTCATATCAAATCAAAAGAATATTTAATGCCTGTATTAACTTTTGGAATTTTTAATTTTGGTATAATAAAAGTATCGATCTAAGTCCGTGCATTAACATGAACGCAAAAAAAGACGAACAAGATGAACGTATGTACGAAGCGCACTAAACATCACTACTGTAATAAAATTGTAACCGAAAGTATATACATAGAATGTCATACGATTAAAAATAATTATAGAAATTATAATATGCTAAATTTATAGTATTAATACAAATGACTTCAATACTATTGCAATTTACATTTATACCTCATCAACTCAATACATTTCTGCAGTGCCTATAATATGATACACTACTAAATTTTACAATGAAAAATGTTCAATAAACTAAAGTGCGGTATTACTGCAGTGTAGTTGTAGTTACTGCACATTTTTTGTTGCACTTAAATTGTTTTTAAGGGAAGATCTAATATGTAAATAAATATAATTGCAAATAAATCTATTATTTAATAATTAGCTATTTTGAATATAGAATAATGTAATAATTTGACTTATTCCGACAATTTTATGAATTTAAATAAAATAATTCATATATAATATTTATACAACTTTTTCCGATTACAGAATCTACGTATAATTTTTTGGATATGAGAGCAAAATCTTAGCAAACATTACTCAGAAACCGTATAGATTATGTATAGGTCTGTATCCATATAGTTACTGTACAGGAAATTTCGGAAAAAAATTGAACTGTCCTGAATGTTTCCTGTACAGATTCTGTATGAATTTTGTGCAGTGTTGCTGTATATATTTTAATAGGATTACTGTATAGAATTTGTATAGAATTTACATCTTTATTGTCAGAGGGGTAGTTATTTTAACTTATTATATATACACCCGTCTGTATTATTAGTTTTATTTTTGCCTACTATTTTATTTTATTAATCGCGTTTCTAATTTTATGCACATGTATAGGTTTATATTTAAAACGATTTCCTTAATTACCTGTAGTTATTTCTAATAGCGTGTCAAAGTGTCATACAATTTTAACACGTGATAAGCGGAATTTTGTTTACATATCGCCAAAACTTTCGATATAACGCGCGTAAGATGTAATATAACACTTGAGAAATATACGTGCATAGTGGCGGCGGCTCAATCGCCTACTTGAACAAGTTTAAATAATAAATAACAATGTTCTAAATTGTTTGGTTTTTTTTAATAAATGATAAAAATATCAAGATACAAAAATTTATGAATCACAAAAATAATAAAACTAAAAATTAAAATAAATAGCCGGAATAAAAAACCCTGACTTGCAAGGGGAAAGTCTGCCATATTTTGTTTAGTTTTTAATTTTATTTTTCGTTTATAAGTATGTAACCTTTTTACTGTCGGTTCGCTTGAGCGCAAACATCTTTGGCTATTCGGAAGTTGTACGTACATATATCCGTTATTTTACGTTTAAGTGTATAAGGCAATCCGGATTTACCAAATTACATATGCACAAATGGTGGATACACACCGAGAGATATAGTACATATCATCAGCCGTCAATAACATCACTATATGGAAGTATATCAAAGGAGACTTCCCTTTACGCCGTATTGATCTTTCAATACAGTAATAGACACGAACTTAATACTTCCTAATTATTATAAAGATTTAGATAATCTGACACATAAGTAGAGGGTATTTAATAACTTAATTTTTCTTATGTTCAATATACTGAACGAATATCAGGATGGGAGACACCACGCGCACCCGAAAAACTTAAACTGGAAGATACCTTGCATAGATCCACGTGCCATAGCTTCTACGCAACTATATGCGAAGATTCTCTGTTGTATATATAGAAACGAATAATATGTCTTCTGAAGAAAGCACGCATTTAAAACAGGTTGATAGTTGCTCAACACATTTGCATGAAAATATTATTAAAGTATTTGAACGAAGGCGACAATTTTGGTACTTCGCAGAGGGAGCAAGACTCCACAAGGTATTCTCTCTAGAACAGACTTTCTGATAATTACGAAACAATAATTAATTGTTATAAATATTCATCATTTATATTATTATTAATCTTTTTAGCATACTGAAGCTGACATTCGACTGAGAGACAACGATACAATAATCGACAAAGTCGCGATTTAATTTCGTCAGAAGATAGTGACACTTCAACAGAATACTCAGAAAAAATTTCAGAAAAGAACAAAAAAAAAATAGAAACTTAAAGACTCGTTCTAAACCTATAAGAAGCGACTAAGAAAATTTTTACAATATGTCATCAGATGACTCAAGTACACGTTCGAATGCCGATTAAGCAATGTCTGTACGATTTGAGGAGAGAGATGAAAATGCTGACGAGGCTGAATTAATTTCAGAATGCATTTAATAAATGTATATTTAAATAATTATTAGAAAAAAATTATTTAGAAGGCAGAGTATATTCAGATAGGCCACGAGCATAAGATTCTTTTCAAAGACTTGAAAAATAACTTAAAATTAAATTAAAAGTTGATCAATTTTTTGTCAAAAATTTTACAAGAGTTTTCCATGGAAAAGAAATTTTAGTAAAGTGTCTGCAAATAAAACCTTGAATGCTCGCTGTAGAAGGAAGGTCTAGAGATGTCGTTGCGAGTGATGAACTTGGTGCTGTCAAAAGTAAAATATTTTATTTTTTATTATAGGTATTGTTATGTAAACATCTTATTTTTAAAATTATTTGGTGTGCAAAATGTCTGAAGTATTGGATTTATAGATATTGTAAGCGTTTGTTGAGAGAACGTGCAATGAAAGAAATACTCGCTGATCTTTTCCACATAATTTCAGAAGAAATAAATAATCAATTTAAAAGATTCAAGCCAAAGGGTAGTAAGACCACATATATCTATCTCAATAATGTCACCGCAAGGAAAAAAATTGTTAATCAATTGAAAGGTGGTATTGTACATCTTTCGTTTGTTTTAGTTTAGTATAATATTATCAATAATGCATATTTCGTTTAAATTGATATAATATTTAATCTAGTTAGTATAATTATGACAGTACTATTCGTTAATTCTATATAAGTACGTTGTAATAATTATTACTAGAGTTGTTGAAAAAAATTCACAGTCGTGTTTTTTAAATTTATAAATTAAATCATGTATGCTTCTGCAGTACTAGTATACATATCTATGTTGTTTAATAAAAAATATTTTTATTTGAAAATTATATTATTTACAAATTATAAAACTACAATATATAAATATTGATATATAAATATTATTTTCATAATATATAAATAATTTATTTGCTGAATTATTTCAAATAATTTTGAATAATCATATGAAATTATTTATATGTACATTTATACCATTTTTTTTTTTGAATTTGTACATAACCTTTATAAAATTTGTGGAGTACATGTGTAAAATCTTAGCAAGCGTTACTCAGAAAATGTATAGATTACGTTTAGGTATCGGTATAGTTTTTGTAAAACAAATTTTGGAAAAAACTTGGTCTGTCCTGAATATTTACTGTACAGATTCTGTATAAATTTTGTGCAGTTACTGTTTAGATTCTAACAAGATTACTGTATAAATTCCGTATAGAATTTATATCTCTATTTTCAAAAGGGTAGACATAAAAATAACGATCAAAGGGCGCAATAACAAAAGGAATCGACAAGTAGAATTAACAACAGCAACGATGGCAGTAAATGAATTTAGAAGTAATAACAAATTAGTAAAAGCAACAGTTCGCACAACTATACAAAAGATCGATGTACTTTGTTCACGCAATTCCTGAGAAAGTCTTACAGAAGGTGCGTCCCGGAACGTTGAAGAGTACCACGGTCTGAGTGAATGCTACAACGTTGTTGAAGGTACGATAGAATAGTCCTACATATAGCCAGGAATTATCTATAACTAGCGCGCAAAGATCCGTCATTAAGTTTATATATGGCACTCGCGACCATAGAGGAAGGTCCACGCGACGATCGTCGCAAACAGCTAATAGTACATTTCGACACTACGATATAGTACGAGATAAGAAATATTATCATGTGGTCTCTTCACCCTTGCTTCGCTCGGGCGCAAACGTCTGCACGAGGCTGAAATGACTTTCTAACAAGTGGGCTGAAAAGTCCCCGCACTTTTGAAGAGATGACGCCACTAGAAATTTTTTCATCTGATTTTCACTGAGAATCATCCTTCAAATGAAACGTGTCAAAATTTGACAGCAATCGAAAGATTTGTTTGTGAGTTATAGCATTTTGAGTGAAGCAACTTTTGTTATTCCAATAAAAATGGAAAAATCTGAATTTCGTGTGTTGATAAAGCGTTATTTTTAATGGGAAAAAATACTGGTGATACTGAAAAATGGCTTAGAAAATGTTATCCTGAGTCTGCTCCGTCGAAAAGAACCATTTGTGAGTGGTTTGCTAAATTTCGCACAGGCCATACCAGCACAGAAGATGCTCCGCGCAGTGGACGTCCAAAAGAGGCTGTTACAGAGGAAAACATCAAAAAAGTTTAAAAAATAATTTTGAATGACCGTAAAATGAAGTTGATCGAGATAGCTGAGACTCTGAAGATATCGAAAGAGCGTGTTGGGCATATCGTACATGAATATTCTGGTATGCGGAAGCTGTGTGCAAAGTGGGTGCCGCGTAAGCTCACAATCGACCAAAAACAACAACGAATTAACGATTCTGAGCAGTGTTTGAAGCTGTTCAACCGTAATACAAGTGAATTTTTGCGTTGATATGTAACAATGGATGAAACTTGGCTCCATCACTACATGCCAGAGTCCAATCGACAGTTAGCTGAATGGACAGCAAGAGACGAACCGAATCCCAAGCGTGGAAAGACGCAGCAGTCGGCTGGCAAGGTTATGGCGTCTGTATTTTGGGATGCACATGGAATAATTTTCATCGACTATCTTGAAAAGGGAGAAAGAATCGACAGCGATTATTACATAGCGTTGTTGGAGCGTTTGAAGGAAGAAATCGTGAAAAAACGGCCACATTTGAAGAAGAAAAAAGTGCTGTTTCACCAAGACAATACACCGTGTCACAAGTCGATAAAAACGATGGCAAAATTGTATGAAATAGGGTACGAATTGCTTCCTCATCCACCGTATTCTCCAGATCTGGCCCCCAGCAATTATTTTCTGTTCGCAGGCCTGAAGAGAATGCTCGCTGGCAAGAAATTTAAGATCGATGATGAAGTGATTGCCGAAACTGAGGCCTATTTTGAGGCCAAACCGAGAGTACTATAAAAATGGTATCGAAAAGTTGCAAGATCGCTATAACCGCTGTATCGCCCTCGAAGGCAACTATGTTGAATAATAAAATTGAATTTTTCAAAAAAAATGTTCTTTTCTTTTCAGCATAGTATCGAGATTCACCTGTTCGGATGTATGTTCTATATGAACGAGACCCTTGTACATATACACCTTTTTCATAATTTTCGGTTAGCAATGGATTTTTTAAAGCTATGCGATGACTTATTTGAAAGCTATAATATCAAAGCAGCTCCAAAAAAAGCTGTCGTGAATTTTTTATGACATTTATGCTATCGCATTTCAAACAAACCAATCTTATTCGGATATGCAAAGAAAAATTTATAGGGGTAAATATATATTTGGCAATAGGCGTTTTTACGTATCTGAATCACGGAAGACACATGCATCTAAATACTATCAATATTGATGGTACAATGTATTGGTTCTATATGGCATAATTTTACAGTTTCGTATATGCGAACATGAATTTTGAGAAACAAAATGAAAATTGATATTTTACTTTTAATAACTGGAGTAACTGAATATTTTCGCTATCAAGTTTTCGGCCTAATTATGCATACAACTTGAAAACTGGAACATAAGAAATTTTTACTTGTATTAATTTTCGGTATAGTTCCAATAGATGAAGTATACTCGAACGATAGCATTAGGCTTATATATTTAAACATTTTAAATGATTCCATGATTGCTTTCGGAAAAGTCCACTAGTCAAATGACGTATGGCAGTTATATATAAAGATATCTTAAAATAAGACAGAACTAGAAAATTCGAATGTTTGAGTATGCGTCGATTCAAAATTCGAGAATATTAATTGTTCCATCTACCTTAACATGCATATCTTCTAATAGCATAATAATGAATAATATATTGTTGGAACAATTTTGTTTTCACTGCTATGTACCAAGATTATAAGTACTTCCAATTCAATAAAAGTTCATGACATAAACAATTATTGTGGTTAAATTTTATTCCACTGCGCATATAAGTAAATATATTATCACAGCTCGCATAGGTAACAGATACTGTACTTAAATGTATAAGAAAATGGAAAACGTGCCCAAGCCTGCGCCACCTGTGAAAATATTAGCGGTCAACAGAAGAACTAACGCGAGAATCAGTTTCTTTTCTTGTAGAATAAATATTATCACAGGCTTAATTTGATCAGTTGAACCTTAGTAACTGCTAAATCCAATTATTCTCTAATAGTGTATCTGTAATAGACAACTATTTTATTGTTACAATGAATTGTTATAATGAAACGATAATTTTCTTTAAAGCGATGCATACATAATGAAGCGGTAACTTCAAAATATCATTCATGACATTGTAATTAGTCATTACTGAGTTCGTTCCAAGATAAACGAAACTATCAACAGTAATATTATATTTATTCGGCAACAATTGGAATTGAAATTCCAAGCAAACAAGTTAATAAAAAGTAAAATGTAAAACTGAAGAATTGTTGGCAAGGAAAAAGAGGGCGCCACAGGGCAAAACGTCGAGGCGCCCAATTGGGCGAGACGACCGCCAGCAGCGACGAACAGATCAGTGCATTTTCCGGAACGACTCGTGGAGCTTGCGTTGTCCACTTTATATTACTTTCTATATATTATATAGCATTGCACGCACACATCTACATACACGCAAGCTCCCTCGCTGTCGTTTTGTATATATATGTATGTATATACGTACATTCAATAAGTGCGTGTGCGTGGTGCAAGCTCTATCTACGAGTTTGATGTGCGCCAACGAGTTAACGCAGATATATATTTATATTCTGCATTTGAACTCGCATACAAACCTATAGGTAGCTCCTGGTTATATATCATATGTTTGCATACATTTATTGAAATTTAATAGTCACACAACTGAAAATCGCTATATATAATGTAATTTCGCTCGTCCTGATATAATACAGCGTTTAATAATTAAACATTGTCTGAGGTTTCGATTAAAACAAGGGATAAAATCGAAATAAAGATCGATTATTACCGGCAGTGTGAAATTACTGTTGTGATAGGTTATAGAGAAAACTTAGATTTGCAGTAGCACTCTGAGGGGAGAGGGGAGAGAGCGGGAGAAACGCGCGACGGCAAGAAGAGGAGGCGACACAGTGGGACGGCGAGGTTGCGTTCCGTTTCTGCCAGCGGCAGCCACTTCGCATCGAACCAAGGGGAGAAGTGCGGAGAAAAAATATAACACAAAGACGCTGCATACGCAGAAAGTGAGTAAATAAATAATAACGAACAAGTGCGTGAGGTGCAGTCTGGTAATAGCGCATAAAAACGGACCGGTCGCGAATGGTGTGTGCATGTGTATGTAAACGCGTGAGAGAGAGAAAGCCATCTTGGCTTGCTGTACAGTTTGGCGGTACAATGGCAGCCGGCCAAGGCTAGCGTTTGAGACGCCGCTAATTTGTGTAGCGTCTTTTTTATAATTCATTCTTGGTGTGATTTGGTATTTTGAATGCAAGGTAAATATTATCTCGTATCTCTTGTGTGTTCGATTGTCCATGTTTTCAAGTTCTTATTGTTGGCGGGAGTCGGTTTTCGTGGCATGCTCTATGATTTGAGGTTAGTAATAGGCGATACGCGCAACATCTCGATTGGAAATGTCTGTGTGTGCTGACTTCAAAAAAGACAATAGTTATGTCTGTTTTGTTGAACTGTTTTCAATTGCTTCAGTAATTTTTTTTTTTTTTTTTTGTTGCAGCTACGAGTGCCGAGTTCATATCGTAAGTTCAACTGGTTTGATTGGATGATTTCAGTTAGAAATGCAACACTTTAAAGATTGCCATCTAAAGATTGAGTTTATTGAAAGAAATTTCTGTTAGGTATAGTTACATTTATTTTTCTTATTCCGTTTTTTCATGTTACTCAAGAAAAGCATCTTTCTATTTTGACATTTATTTTAGAATAAAAAGCATCAGCACAAACAAAATCAAAATGGAAACAACAGATGGTCCTGCAGCCATCAGCATAAATCCTAGCACCATAAAAGGTTTTTAAAAGAATATTTTTACTTTCATACTCAAACAAACTAAACGTAGTGAAAGGTTTCACAACAAATCTGTTTGTTTTTTTTCAGCATCCCAAGAAGAAATGGGAAGGTTGGATGTATTAGTTTGTGGACAATGTCATTCTGTTTTTCACTTCATTGAAGAATTTCAAGAGCATCGCTCAAAAGAAGGGGCATGTTCAAAACAATCTCATTTCAGAGAAAGTAGCAATGTATAATTATTCAGTAGTTAAATATATTTAATTTTTTTCATTTCAAATTATAAAATATAATTTTTACAATTGTAGAATGAACAGAAAGCACAAGTTTGGGCATTTCTGCTGTGGAAAGATACACATATTCAACAAGATAGTCCTGATAAAGATACCTCATGGAATTTGTATAAAAAATGGTGCCAAATGGAGCCACATGTTAGGGAGTGCTGGATTGCAGCTGGTAAAACTATACAAACTTTCACAAAAATTAGTAACACTAAAATGACTGACGTACCCAGACAGCAAGGAACTATTACAACAGAAGGTCAATATAAGTTTCATATTCCAGCTGGTTATTTTATAAAATGCATTTTTCATAAATTGAAAATGAAATTCTCAACAATCATAAATATCTACAGGTGGTAGAAGATTGGTCGTTCACAAACTTATTCGAAATGGTCAGCCGGAAAATTCTGGGAAAAAAGAGATTAAGCCTGACATTAAAATGAAATTAGAGCCAATAGAAAAAGGAAAGGTCAAACTAAAACCTTCAATAAAACCCAAGGTAAAGGCGCTTTTCTATAATGGAGTACAAAAATAATTATATTTAATAAATTATATGATTCTAACATAATGCTTTTTATAGGCTAAAAATGAATCAGGTGAGAATGCAGAAGATAGTGATGACGATTACATTGTTGAGAAAATTCTAGCCAAACGTTTCAATCCAAAGAAGAAAGTGTATGAATATTTGTTGAAGTGGGAAGGATATGCTCAGTAAGTATTCTTTTCTTTTTTATTATTCTGGTCTTTAATTGGTTAAAAAAATTAATTTTCTTTTTGTTGACAGTGAGCATAATACTTGGGAAGAGGTTGAAAATGTTAGTGCAACCTGTAAGCAATTGATGGATGAATTTGAAAAAAATCTGGCTAAGCAGAAAGAACTCAAAGCTCTGCATGTGCAAAAATCTATCGCGAAAGCCAATCAAATGGGTGTAGGCTTTCATAAAGAAATCAAAAGAGAGAATGTCAAAGCTGGTCCTAGTACATCCAGTCCAAAGTATTATAATTGACTTTAGCAATACTTTTTTTTAATATATCTGTGATACAAATTATATTTTTAATTATATGTTATAGAAGGCCGATGCGTTCCAGTAAATCAAAAGCCATGGATAACGTTAAGAATTGGGTTGGTGTCATGAAGAATGAAGAAGAGCGCGACCGTAAGTTTTTACATGCTTATTATGTCTGCAGCTTGGTGCGTTCAATTGGAAAAATTCCAGCATTTTCACTAAATTGATTTCTCTGATAAGCAGTGCTCGGCAAGCGAAAAATCCCGTTCTCCGACAGCGACTCGGACGATGGTGATCTGGCTGGACTGAGAAGTATGAAGCGCAGCAAAGCGGATACAAGTGGTGACGACGACTGGACAGCCGAGTCAGAAGAGGACAAAGTTACTAGTGGCCGTAGCGATGTGATTCAGAAAGCTTTCAGTCGTGCGCAAAACGGTTCACAATCTAACAGCATGTTTGCGAAAAACGTGAAAACTGAGACGAAACCACAGTCTACCGTGTACTTGGTACATCGCAAGGATGGCGTAATCAGGTTGGATCAATCACCAACGGACAGTATTGCTCTTAAGGCATCTCAGATCAGTGGTGGAAGTGGCGTACTGATGGTGCAGAATCGCGAAGGTAACTTAATCCGCAAAAGAATTGTGACATCTGATGGTTCTTCGGCCAACTCGATAACATGCGAGAAAGTGATCTCGAAGCCGGACGGCACACAGGTGGTCACGCAGATGAAAGTCGTGCCGAAAAGCTCGCCGGCCGGTAAGACATTGGTCGCGGCCAAGAGCGAGCCCATCAAAATCAAGCCCAAGCCCGAGCCTAATCAAGTGCAACAAATTCAACTAATTACAGCCGGTTTAGGACTCCAAACCAGTACTCCGAAGGTCGTAACAGCCATGCGAACCGCTGGCACTGCTGCGAGTCCGCGTACGAGCACTGACGGAGGAGGACGACCGTTGTTGCCAAGACCAGCGGGTGTGCGAGGAGCCACCTCGACGACTTCAAGCCCGATGGCCATCGCCCAGACGAGGACGCCGGTGAGAGCACCTTTGCCGAAACAAGGCACGACAGTGGGCGCGCAACAGCGCCAGATATTGCAGCAGAAGAAGACTGGCGGAACCTCGACGATCGTGCAAGTTGCTGCCGCCTCGCCGAATGCGCTGCCGAGCGTCAGGCCAAAGATAACGGTGATGAACGCGCAAGGCCCGCTGATGCAAAAGATCGTGTCGCCAGCTGGTAAGCCCAGTCCCAAGGCGGCTGGAGCGACGTCCTCAGTTGCGGCCAGGCCCTTACCCAGCTTGACCACCACGCAGAAAATTCAGGCGGCCAAGAAGAAAGCCGAGCAAGAGGCTGGTGTTTCATCAAAAACTGGTGCACGAGGAAACACCACTGCAGCCAGAGCTGGTGCTAGGGCCAATAAGGCCAAGGTGACCACGGCTGCAGGGGGCAACAAGCCCAAGGAAAGCAAGCTCGCCGTGACAGGGGGCCTGCATATGGAGTTTCACCAAGTCGAGTCAGAGGACAGCAGCGATGGGGGCGAAACTGAGTTCCCGCCACTGCCCGCGGCAGCAGCCCAATCGGCGTCGGAGCCAGACAGCCCACCAAGGTTGACTTTGTGCCCTTTGACTGGTCGCATTATCGGACCGGATGGCCAGCCCATCGAGCAGCCTGAACTCGAGCAACCTCAGGCAGCTCCAGCTCCGCAGGTGACGCCTGTAGCAATTGTACCAGCCTCAACGACAGCGACGATAAGTCCGGAGGGTATCATCACCACAGTAGCTGCCGGTGAGAACTCTGCTGAACTCGTATTGCCCACCATGGAAGGCCTGGCCGAAAGTTCGGGTGCTGTGATGCGCGTGGAAATGAGCCCAGGTGGCACCACTGGAATGATTGTACAGGCGAACGAGAGCACACCGGTCACGTTAGCCAACGTCGTGGTACCTGGACCCGACCTTCCCTGTCTGGATGATCCCAATATAGAAGTACAAACTACGAGTACCGGCGGGGTAGTTGTCAATGTATCAACTAGCGAGGCACCCGCCAGTGTACCGAGTAGCACTGCTACTGAAACGACAGCGGTCGTCGCAACGACTACCACGACAGACGTGACGATGAGCCAGCCATTGGAAGTTGTTCCAACTACCACGGAGGTAGCTTTAGCTACAGTTGCGGGTTCTAATGTGAAACTCGAAAATCCTGCCACCCAACAGCATCAACTGGTCACGTTGACCGGCGAAGACGGTGTAGTTTATCAAGTAGCTGGTCAAGCCGAGAACGGACAGACGCTTTTGGTAGCACAAGGCGCTGATGGTGAACAACAGTGCGTCTACGTGACCACAGCCGACGCCGGTCAAGGCGAGGAGGGTCAGGTGTTGACTATCGACCACGCGGTTGCCGAGGCCGTTGCCCAACTCATACCCGGCTCCGATCAAGTCAATCTTGCACAACAGTTCTACGTGAAGGAGGGAGAAACCACAGCGGAGGGTGCCGAAGCTGTTGCTACTCCTGCCGAAGGACAGGTGGTTATGTCCGTTGTTGACAATGCTGATACCGTCGTTGCTGCTGCCCCAGAGGAAGGTGAAGCTCAGGCCCAAGTTGTCGCACAAGTTATTCAAGCTGATCCACCGTCTGCAGGTAAGTCCGTGTCATTGATCTTTTGAATATTAATATTGTGTCTTTGATTGTTTGCTCTTTAATGAAATTAGTCATTTGATTATATTTAGAAAGATATCTCAACCGTACACATTTAGTTATGCTTTTCATTTAATCCTCAGCGTAAAAATGCATGTTTTTTTTACGAGATTGACTTCATTGCAGATGGTCGAAGACGGGTCGTTCTATTACTGCCTGACGGCAATTTGATGATGACTGAAGTTGACGAGGAGCAATATGCTGCATTAGAACTCGATAAGTGAGATGCTTAAAAAGCTATCGGTTAAAGTGGAAAACATTGAGCACATTACGAGTGTTCGTGTATTGTGTGTAAATAATGGCTTGCAAATTTGGCGTCGCTTCTGTGAAACAAATGAAATACTTTTTAGCCATAACCATTACGGTTTTTGTCACGTAACAATGGCTCTGGAGTACGTGGTGTAAAAAAAAGAAGGAAGAGTATTTGGGCAAGATAATCTAAGTTTCTATATTAGAAAAACACATATTTTAGTAATGTTTCATTATCAGGCGTTTCACTGACATTTTAAATTTTAAATTCTATTTATAATGAACAGTGCATTCTATTATAAAAATGATAGCGCGTCTACACTAATAATTATTACACTTAATTTATATAAGGTTATTGTACTTTCTAGAATAAGGAGGTACGATCTAGGATTTTATATTTTTGAAGAAAAAATGTATTAAAGCGCGACTGTATCAATTTCCACATTTCAGTTATTTTCGTTCACTTCATGGTTATTCAATATGATTTGGCATTAAAAATTAAACATTGAATCTAGTTAATCTGTTTGAAAGAAACGAAGAGTTTTAATTATTTTTTATTTTAATTATTTGTATATTCGAATACAAATCAAGATAATATCTATTTTCGTGATCGACTATCTCTGAACCGCGTTAATTAATGTAAAAACAAGCGGAATGGATTGGAGTGCTTTCAATGTGGATAAAATTTACGCGATTCTGTGGATTTATTTGACAAGAATGATACTAGATTGAAAGGTTACATGAAATTCGAAATGGATAATATATGCCGATGTAAATTTTTTGTAGAGATGATAGACTATTTTGAAGTCTATAATATAAAATCCTAGTGCATACATTAGGGAAGTATATCTTTTGTAAATATCGTCATCTTATTTGTTTATATAAAGATTGTTTAGAAATTAAAAAAAAAACATGCATAAAAACGATTCTTATGGTTTAATGCACAATAAACAACTGACAGTAAAAGTGAGTTATTAATTTTATCGACCAACATCAAACATTGAAAGTAACTAAGAAAAAAAGCAAGAAAACACTTACAGTACTAATGGAGTTTATACCAATAAAAGTAGCGCAATATCAATGCAATAAAAATAAAATAGTTGACTATTTAATTCGTGAATTTTCACGATTCGGAGATGATGAAACCAGTTCGAATATTGTTGGTTTTTTGGAAAAGGAATTGACTGCAAATGTCGTGCTATCGGATTTTTTCAAAGTAACTATTGAGAGTTACAACTCCTAAATTATTTAAGCTGTAAATATGCATTTGAAACCTAACATTGTCTTGAACATGGTTAGGATATTCAGCGCTATAAACATGAGCTAGAAGAAATAAATAAAGCGCGCGAGCGTCTAGCGGTCTTGAAATGTGGAAACGCTTTCGTCGATTGCAACACAAATTTCTCATCAAGTGACAAATATTTTTTGATTAAAGCCGAAAATTGTATCATTGAAAAGAGTAAGCGTTGATAATGACCTCTAGAAGAAATGAATTTTCATAATAATTTCAACTAAATCTAACAGCTCCCTTGTTGAATATCGATCCTACGGATGACGATCCTCCACTAAAAGGACTAGTGAAAGTTGCATCTGAATCGACGGTATCTTCGTCATCTGAATCTAGGTAACTATTTACATTTCGATATCATTTCGCTTATCATAAGTGGATTATTTTTTTGCAAATAATAACAGACGAGTAGCACCGCTTATATTACGTTATATATTCAAAATGTAATTCTAGCCATGACACAAAAAGTTCGGTGTCAACAAAGCCGAAGAAAAGTGTGTTAAAGCCGTTGGCATTAAAACGAATTTTATTGGCTCAGCCTGAAGTCATTGAATTTCGCAACTGCGAAGCTCATCAAACATACCAGGCACGTACTCTGGACGGATATTGATTCGCGATTCGTGAAATTCAAAATCCGAATTATTTTCGACGTTTGAGCTTCGATGACATCAAACGAGGTTAGGCTTATTTTCGTAAATTGTACCTCGCAACTTTTGCCAGAAAAAAATCCATTTGATGTACGATCGATGCTCAGTCGCCGAAAATAATTTGACTTTTGGCGTGTCGCGAATTAATATCTATATCCTTGCATATCGAATGGCTATATCTTACGTCGCTTACAATCGATTGTTTGACATTAGAAAAAGCTAATTTTGCTCAACACGGACACGCAACTGACGCGATTCCGAATGGAATGTCGGCCGTTGAGATCACCGTTCACGATATTTATCGAAAACAATCGAGAGCTCATTGCACCGGGTATGCATGCTAAGCTCACCGTGGAATATCAATCCGACGGACTCGGCGAACCGGAAGAAACGCTCGTGATCAACGTGCCAAATGGCCAATCTGTCGCCGTAATTCTGAAAGTACGGCGGGAGCCGCCAACGTTGCAAGGTCACTCGCGGCTCAATTTCAATTAATTGCCGCGCTTGGCTCTTTCATTGAACTAATAACGAGTGCGAGGTCGTTGCAGTTTTAGCGCAGGCTTGCTCCACCCTGTCCCTGGCTGACCGATCCTCCAACGCGTCGATGTCGAGCACCGCGACCGAATCTACCTCGAAGCGATCGGTATACCTCGCGAACGATCGCGTCTACGACATTGCAAGTCACGAATGATTAACGATATGACAGTCGTCCGGCAGTCTCGGTAGCACCGAGAGCACAAGTACCCGTAGCTCCGATTACCGGGTTAAGCAGCCGAGTTTCGACTGCAGGAAATGTTTCCTCGGCGAGTTTGTGGTGATATCGACGCTCCTGAAAAATGACGGAGGCAGGGGGCGATTTTTCATGATGAGCGAAAGCGACTGGTGCTTACTGGATATCAAGGTAAGACATACTTCCAGTTGTTCGGTCGCGATAGCCACGGAGGCAGTGTCGATGCGATATGGGCTTTTGTCGCAGGATATCACCGCGAACAACATGTTGATCGTTTCGCCGTTCGCCGTGTGGCCAGCCTACTTCGCACTGGACCCAGGCCAGTTCCTGATACTGTACACTTACTTTTTCCCCGAGTCTTCCGGATTACAAGTTAATCGTCCGCTGAAGGAGAATAAACAGTCGCTGCCTCGAAACTCAAACGGCTCTTTTGCCAGGTGGACGAACTGTACGTGATAAGCGATAACTGCTCGGTAAAAACCGTGGAAGTCACCGGCGACGGCGTCATCTTCGAGCGACAGTCGCTCGAGTTCGACGATGTAAGTCTCGCTCGTATATCACTCGCAAAACGTACCGCGGAAGTTGGCATTCAAGCGACGTACGTGTATTTCGCGAAACGTCGATAGTAGAACGTCAAGTATCAGTCGTTTCAAATGAAGAACAAAGAGCTCTGCACCATGCGCTACATGGACCTCGGCGTCGGTGACACCGACGGCTTCCTCGGTGACATTTTCACGATAACGAGTAAATGGTAAGATTGACTCTTACGCGCCTTACGAGCCATTCCGACTTGGATAATTGTCACGAGACGAAAGAGCGTCGATCGGACGAACGGCTCTAATACGCTCGCCATTCCTCGATCAAACGATTCAGTCACACGCGGCTTTTCACTCGCGATTCAAGCGATTTAGACGTGCACTATCGTTGGGAAGTGAGCGACATCGTACTCTGCCCGTCGATATATAAGATAACCATAGGACTCGGGAAGACAAATTTTCCCGTCGGAAAGATGAGCATCGAGCCAAGCAGCGGTGTCTTTCAGGCCAACTCGGTTATAACGTTTCACGTGATCGCTGATTTGAGATCGGTCAAGCACGATCACTATCGCACCACTTTGAGGTACGACGCTCGTTTTTACCGAGAGCGCGAACATTGCCGAATGGCTTCGATCGTCTAGGCTGATCGTCGAGGACTTGCCGCTGGCGGCGATTCCCGAGAGGTTCAATTTTCCCTACAGCCAGAGTCGAACCAAACGACGCCTTTGCGAGAATGTAAGAAAGCCTGCGATACCAATGTGCTTTGATTTCGCGGGAGCGCGTATTGACGATAAGTGATTTGCAGCCAGTAGACATCAATTTCGAGAATATCGACGTTCGCTTCAAGTGCGAGCCCAAGGCAGTCGCGAGCGTGAACGGCTATCGAACTAACGGGTAAACATCATCTCGCGATGCGTCGAGCGCAACTGTGAAAGAATGAACTGTTGAACTTGATCGTTGACAAAGTACGATGGACGAGGCAGCAACCGAATATACCATGCAAACCGTGTCGATGGCCGATGTGACCTACGTGGAAGACGACTCACTATTCTGGCAAAGCGCATTCATGTTCAAAGCCGACGCCGTGGACGACGCGCGAAGTTCAAAGAGCGAGAGCGTTTGTCGATTCATCATGGGACTCGGCGCTTGCGACTGCTGCCAAGCGACATTGCCCAGCACGGCCGTGCTCAGAGCCGGAAGGTTTTCGTTGCAGATTACCTCCATTTCCAAGACTGACAATCGCTAATCGTTGCTCGCGCGAATCGCAGTCCACTTTTCGTCGGCGTCGAGTCCACATTCTCCGTCGTCCTCTGCAATCGGAGCTCCGCGAGAATCAAATACTGGTGGAGTCAACCGGTTGGCTCTGATCACGCTAAAATGAACATCGCGCTCGAACCAGCCTACGATTCCATCTCACCAAATTCACAACGAGTTATACGACTGAGGTGCCTGCCTTTGGAAAGCGTAAGTCAAACCGAAGCGACCGTTTCAACGACTCGTCGTCTGCACGATACATCCATTTTCTATAGGGGACCATCTCGTCGATTTTCATCACCTGCCAATTCAACGGGACCAATCCACTTGTCCTGTCGATAGAGTGTCTGGTGAAATCGCTGTGCGTCAACTTTTACTTTCCCACTCCGGCAATTGAAACGGCTGACGTGAACTACGCGAGGATCGAATGGAACGCTAACGAATATCTATCTAAATATGATAAGAAAGTAGATCACTGACACATGAGAACACAAACTATTCGCGTATTTTCGTTGTTTTGTCAATTTTCTGTACAGTCTGGGAAAATACAATTGTTATCGCTGATGTCACGGGAAGAGAAAACGTTACACGTTGTTGAATTGAACAGCGACTGGTCGTTGAGGAAATCAAACGTTGACACGGACTCTCCCGATTCTCACGAATACGAAGTATAACGAATCTTGAATGACACGTATAAAGATATTATATGCGTACATACTTTACAAAGTAAATGTATAACGATATTTTAGGGAGACATTATCGTCGGCAATACTGAAACGCGTCGAGGTGAGAGGGAAGTCGGCGAGCAGTCACGTGTGTCGCGTGACTTTTCCGAGGACGCATTCGACTACGAAGCCGAATCTTTCGTCGACGATAGCGAACACTTGAAATTACTTCCATATTTCGATTGGTACTCTGATCTGATGAAAAAGCACTTTCGCTATCAACCTCTAGTTTTCGAAATCCACGTTCGTTCGTCCCAAAGTAAATGCTTGCCTTTACCTCGGAAAAATTATTTTCGCGTCAATCGAACACCTGTGTTTAGCTACGAGAAAGCGAATTTACGTGGAGAACGACAGCCCAATCGCAAGCCACTTCCACGTGTACGTGAAAAACTTTTGGGCGCGCCATTCGCTCGATGATGGACAAAGTAATGATTTATCCACGACCTACTATTCGAAAGCTAACGTCGCAGATGCTTAATGAGCTTGCTCGTGCCCTCAAGCTGACGGCCTGCTGCTTGACACGAACGCATCGCAATCGGGTATCCACTTGAAGATCGAGCCAGTCGGAGGCGAAATCAAGCCACGCGAAACTCTGCACTTGGACTTGATCGTCAGCAGTACGACGTGGGGAGTGTACACGGACCAGATACACGTGGAAATCGACAGTCTGCCCCCGTTCGTGTTCTGGATCCGCGTAATCAACGACAACTCGCCGGTCGCCTACCCCGTTTGCAAGAACACTTCGATCGCCATTCCCAGCATACGGTGCGTGCTCTGCGTCCACGAGATTGGCATCGTTGAGGCACGCACCGAAAGGCCCATCGAACTCGCCGTTGCAGGTTTACGTCATTCAAACCTGGCTATCCGTTGGAACAAAGAAGGCTTCTGTTGGAGAATACCAGTGAAGCTCCTCTGTACGTGAATTGGCATTGCTTTCTGATCGGCGAGGACGAAGGAGATGGGTGGAAGAGGCCATTTAATGTTATCTTGGATATGGTTTCGCCTTTTCTCGATGCCAACGAGGCCAAAGATGATTTGGCCGAGATCGATGAAACGTCCAGCCAATATACGAACAGTGACAGTTCTGAGCATTTCCAAAACGGGTACGAGCCTATTCTTGTCGGTCCACATGACGATTGGTTTGCTAATTGTTGTTACGAGCTTGCTGGATATTTTAGCGCGGCCTTCGGCAACCCGTGGTACGAATCGAGTGGCGAGGCTGTTGGCGAACTCATCGATTCTAGCAGTGACGACGACCATTCAGAATCTATCACTCCAGCGATGAATAAGCCAAATAGAAAGCCCCAAGATACCGAATTCAAAGTATCTTTAGTTCCCTATTACGGCCAATTGACTTCAGATCTGTTTACAGTGAGTACATTTGCAAAATCAATACTTCTCGGTTTGTTTGTACTGCTCGCCAAAAGAAATCATGACGATTCTGCAGATTACACCCAGAGAACTATTCCTGCCCCCAAAATCGAAACATTACGTTTACATCGACGTGAACACGGAAAAATTGCATCGACACGTGGGTAGAGTATGCTGCAAAGCATGCGGCTTCATACGCATACCTCCAGACTTCAAGTGAATCTTACCGCCACGAATTAAGATGCGTTTTCGACAGTCAACTCAATGTGATTTGTTTTCAGGTATAAAGACAACGTCTATCATCGCAAAGATGGACATTACATGCCACCTATGCAGGTAGATTTGAGCTGTGACCTTCGAAGACCTAAGTTTTACATGCTATCGGACCAATCTGACTGTACTTTCGAGTTTCATACAAAAGACTTTATACAGCGTGCGACAGATAAGCTGCGGTATGCGATTGCCATCAATTGTCAAAGTCGTATTATTCCAAGCGATTGAATTAATGATCAACAGGTTGAAAGAGAAAATCTCCTTCAAAAATTTCGACGTTAAAGCCGTGAGTGTTACATATGAAATCGACAAGCCTTTCTCGATAAAGGAAATCGCAACGACAGCCGAAGTGATCTGTGGTGGTAGCGTGACTGTCCGACCAAATCAGAATGTGCAGGTAGCTTGTCGAAAAGTTACACTTACAAAATTATGATTGATAATGATTTCATCCACAAGGTTGTCATTAAATGTTCAATAAGTGAAAATTGGATAGAGGAAGTGATACGCGAACAGGAGGATAATTATCGCAAAAAAAATTCTGTAACTTTGGACAAACGATTGAACATTGTTTACAAAGAAGGGTTTTGTCAGGTATGTCACTATAATGCAATGCTCGATATTAAATTGAGTAATTTTTTTCAATTCTAGTATTATGACCTGTATATCAGGATCCGTTTTCCATCTCTCGCCATTTCAACGACGCGCTTGGATTTCGGAAATGTTATGTTTGGGGAACGAAAGTGCTTACAATTTGAAATACGAAATCTTTCAAGTGAGCTTCACTTGGCTATTCTAGGATTGTAAATAATGCAATTATTGTAAAATTTTAATTCAATTCTAGAGTTGGCGCAAACTTATGAATTGCAAAGGCCGGAAAAAGTTGATTATTTTACTCTTTTCCCCGTCAAAGCATTGCTTGCCAAACGAAGTTTACTCAATATGGACAAAATGGAAGTGACGGCATCTTTTGTGCCTTTGTATGTTATATTGATGTTCAAAATTTTTTCAAAACATTTTTCGACAGTTGTGATAAAACGATCACTTAGTTGTTTTTATTATTAGTTACCGTGATGTTAATATGCTTGCCTTTTCTAGTAATTTAAATGACGCAGACAAAAATAATGATAAGAAAATGTTACTGTTTACTCAAAATAAAGTAATTCATGATAAAGACAAATTAAATTTTTTATCAACAGATATCCGGGGATTTTCAAAGAAACTGTGAAACTTATTTCCGAAGTTGATGGCCATATATTTTATTGCACTTTGGAGGGGAGCTCGTGCACTTAAGTAAAAGTGAGTATTCCAACTCAATGTCCAAATAACAAATATACATGATGCTCGATGCATAAAAAGTGTTTATCTTTTCACCGTCTTATTTTTATAGTAAAAAACTCCGTAGTTGCATAATATTATCTTTTAATAAAACATGCTATGAAAAATCCAACAAAATCACTTTCACAACCTAATCTCCATAAGTTCTTTGATTGCTCGACAGTTAATCCGTCAATATTGTAACCCATCGTACCGAATACTCCTACATTTAAACTCGTTAACTTTTCTCGGACACATTGTAGCTCTAATTTTGGAAATGCTTTCAAGGCCCAAGCAATAATACCTTCATTTTCGGCTACAGTAATAGTGCATGTGCTGTAAACTAACGTCCCACCTGGTTTCAATAATTCAAATGCCTAAAATAATTATTTTATGTTTAATTAAAAAATACTGTAATGAGTTATTTTACTGTAGACTTACCATTGAAAAAAGTTTTCTTTGTAAAGGTACATAGGATCGTAATTGATACACGCTTATTGAATTACGAAGTTGTGGTCTCTGACCTAAGGCACTGCACGGTCCATCCAATAAAATCCTATCAAAACTTTCTGCTGCAAAAGGTGGTCCGTTTGAAATGCATGTATCTTTGGATTCACATACAACTTTTGTTGAGTCATAGCAAAACGTTTTGACATTTGTTGCAAAAAAACTTTCAATGTTTGAGTTTAATTTTTCTAATTTATTTTTTATTTTTTCCAATGCAATCACAATACCCTGTAATAAAATTACAATTATTTGTTTTTATTTACTGTTTTGTAAAACTGAGAATTAGCAACAGTGATTAATACATAAAATTTGAACCTTATTATTCATTAAAGCTGCTATATGAGTTGTTTTATTTCCTGGAGCAGCGCACATATCTAGAATTATTTCTCCAGGCTGTGGGTCTAATATACGAGAACAGATTATGGATGGCAAATTTTGAAGTAGAAGGTGTCCCTTGGGCAGTATTTTTTCATTTAGTTGCGGTATGCATGATATAGTATCAGTCATTATTATAGCAATCCCACTGGAAAATAATTATTAATGTTTGATTTACTTTTTACTAACATTCTTCAAAACTTACACATTACCTACAACTTGAATTATCATGACAGAATATTTGTTCCCTCATCATTTTAACAATACCATTGCCAATAAATAACTTGCTTTCATCATCGTACAATTTGACAAGTCCTCTTTTGCAAGCTTGTTTAAGATCCACATAAACACTGACACTATCACCAATATTCAAACCTATTAGTGTTTTCAGATAATAATTTAAATGTTATTCATGATCTAAAATGACATTTGTGTAGCTTGTTATTTCATTCACCTCGTGGCATGCCCAACACTCCTGGAGCATAAATATGAGAGCCTCTCAAAACTGCTGAGCCGCAAGCAGTATCAACAATGATTTCATTAGGTTCTTTTGTTAAGTCAAGTTCTTTTGGATACATACAACTTTTAACAATAATAAGTTCTGGAATGTTACTAAATGTAGTTACACTTAGCATAGACTCTGGGTATTTCTAAATAGACATTATAACCTGAATTTATTATTTTCAATTTATACTTAAATAATAATATAATAATACATAATAATATTACGATTGATCAAATAAAATATAATTCTTATATAAATTACACACAAACCTCGTTTAATGACTCTATGATACAATTATAAGCTACTTGTTGCTCACATAATATTGTATTTACTCTGAAAACAGTATTCTTAGGAGTACTGCTTAGCCATGAAATTAAATTTTGCAATTGTTCCTAAAACAGTAGTTTTAGAAAATAAGCTTTGTGAAAAAAATAATACGAATAAAGTATATACTTCGACTTGCAGATCACTCAAAAGATCATCATGTTTTATTCTTTTCAAATCCAGTAACAATTCATCTCGAACTTCATCTTTAAATTTCAAAATGTTAGTGTGTGAAGAAGCGATATTCATAATAAAAATAAGATAGTCACATTAACGATGGGTATCATGAAATGATTATTTTAGTCGTTTAGCAGTTTTGTAATCAAAGTCAAAGTACATTAGTTTCTTGACATAATCAACACATGGTTGTAGCAGACGCTTTTTATTTCTAATTGGCGTGTGGTTTCTATAATCTATACATATTATGCACATGTATATACGTTTCGTTTCGTTTTAATGGCTGTGGGTACCTAAGGACTCCGATGCGCCACGCACATGTATATATGTAGTAGCAGCTATTGCGATCTCTCGTGGCGTGAAATAGAAATAAACAAGCACGTACTTTAAACACAAAGGGCAAGAGAAAGTAAGGTTATTATGTAATATATTAATAATAATCAAAGAAATTTGCAAATAACTAGTTGTCAATTGAAATCTCAGATGATTTGTTGAAAATAAATAAATTTAAACAATTGTAAAAAATATTCAATAACATATACTTATTTAAGACGTATCATTTGGTATTAAAATTACCACTTTTCAAGTTTCGAATTTTTTCCATTATTATTAATATATTAAATAAAAACAACACTCAACCTTATGTATGATCGCAATAGGCGATTGCTCTTTTCACTCGTCGGCTATCACCGGGAAGCGCGGGAACCACGGAAGCCCGGAAGCAGTACAGCGCATTGACGCCGTGGCGCTAATGTATGAGCCATGATCCGTAATACGTGAATCATGATGAGATACCAATATTGATGTACTCGATACCGTGATTGATGAAATTTCAATATGGCTCCATATTGTTGTTAGTGTTAAGTTTGCAGGTCAAAACAACATACGCGATCGCCTATTCCGTAATAATAATTCTTTGGATTAATTATTGTTAAAAACTGAAGTAAGTTACCTAGAATCGTATCGTTACATATTCAGTATCGTTTTAATCATTGGGAAGTATGTATACGTAAATAAAGCCTGTTAACCTTACTTTTGGGAAAGTCAACAGACTCGTGAGCACATTGTGATTTTACATTTAATTTCACAAGTATGATCTACTTTTATGAATTTGATTTAGAAATCATATGTAGTTTTATTTGAGGATGTTTTAGTTTATCTCGGTTAATTAATTAACAATTAAGAGCAATGTGTATAAGTGAAGTGAAGTGTCAAACTAGAAAATATTTTGGAGAGAAGTCGCGGTTCTTTCACAAACAAATAAAATTTTAATTGAGTTAAGGACAAATTATGTGCAATTTGCTCAATTTAGCAATGGAGAGTAAAGTAACTAGTAAGACTAGCAGTTTAAAAGCTTTGCTATTGAGAGCATGGCGGGAACGATGGAGTGACCTGCAATGGGGTATCAATATCAAAACGGTAATTTTATAAAGCATATAAGTTTTGTTGCTAATTCTTATATTCAAATTCATTACTGAAATATTACTGAGTATTTAGATTTTACCAAGGGGTGTTAGTGGAGATGTACACAATTTGGCAGACTGCATTCTGCAACAAGCTTTAGTAGGACCTGGACCAAATGAGTTGGTGCTTTCTTACCTCAAACATTCACTTTGTTCACAGGTGCATTTTCTATGATATTAACTATTGTACTTGTTTCTAACTTTATACATTTTTTGTAATTTTATATACCAGAACATTATTAATTTTTGGTACATTTTGTAGTTGGTATCCTATGCAGCTGTATTGCAAAGGATTAGCAAATATGACGCTTTCCATAAGCCACATTGTATAGTTAGTTTATTAGAATTTCTGGAAATGATTCATGTCGGTATTACATGTCGAGGAAAACCAGAAGAAGACCTCTTGGCTGCAGCCTGTCTTTCAATTGTTCATTGGTTGCTGCAATGTTATCATTATGCTTTGACTAAAGCACCACAAGGTAATCCATTGGCTCCTCAACCTGCAGAATTAATGGACAAACCAGCACATTTGTTGAAAGAACTTTTAGCATCTGACTTCATATGCGCTATGTTATATTCAGCGAAACATGACAATAAAGGTAAAATGAAGCAATATTTTTAAAATCTTAAATTTGCACTAATATTTATTTTTTGTTTTAATAACTGTATTTTTTATTTTAGACCTATATTTTGATATTGTAAAGAAATGTCAAGAAATTGAGAAAGAACAACAAAAAAGTAATGTGAAATGTTCCATGCTAGTAGAGGATTCACTAAAGAAGCTTTGCAATTTAGAAATAGAAAATATTGTATCAACTTTTGTAAAGTTTGATGCAGAACCACTCACTTACTGTGTACAGCCTTTATTAGCAATTCAAAATACAGTCAATCCTAGCACGGAAACGTCTACATATGTTAGTCAACTACACACGATTCAAAGACTGAAAAATTATTCCAATGCAAGACTATATTGCGAAGTTATTCGGGCCTGTATGATATGTTTACACGATGTTAATGGTTCGTTTAAAGAATCACATTGGGGAGGTTTTCTGATTATAAAACTTCCACAAATTCTAAAAGATCTTCATACTAGTACATTGAATGGTTTGTAAAATTTTTGAAATATATTATACCTTAATTATTGAGCATCTATAAAAATGATTCGATCTCTCTTTTTTTCTATTTAATTTTTTTTGTAGGAGAAAATAAAAGCTACGACTTTTCTCAGGATGTAGTTGATGCTTTTAATTTATTGCTACGATATACGCCACTTCTAGACAAAATGGACATTATTTGTGTCGGAAACAGTGTTGAGTGTTTGATGAACGAGTTGTTGCCATTGAAGCTAGTTACAGAAGAACAAGTAAATCAAGTCAGTCGTAAAAGGTAATAAATATTGTTTATTTTACTTGTTTATTAGTCTATTGACAAGGGAAAAACAACCTCCACAGAAGATGATCAATTTTTTTTTCGAGGGATTTGGTATATATCTAGATTATTTACTTTTCCACTTTTCAATAATATTAACCTGCGCGCGGAGCAACCAGCGACTAACTAACGACGAGTATACGGTGCATGTCACAAACTCAACTTTCACTTTATACCTAAGCTTAAATTTCGTGATCTGCCTATAGCATTCTAAGAATTTGCAACTTAGGACTATTTCTTTCCATGTTCGAATGCTGATTCCTTCATATTACTATTTTTTTCGTTCTTCACAATAAATTTCGGATAATCGAAATATTAATGTTAATATTAAACTATCCAAGTTGACTATTACTTGAACGGCATTACATTGCAAAAGTAATTCATAAAAATTCCCAACAAATTTATCAGTTTTTTATAAATCTGTCTGCCTCTTTGCAATTTCGACAAAGCTTTAATTATCATCCTTGTTATCGGCGTGAGTGCTCCCTAAGCATTCCTAAGTTGCAGCAGTATCTACGGTGAATGTGTCGCCGGAAATTTTGGCATGGAATTCTGCCGTTTTCCCTGTCCACGTACAGTATTAATTATCTATTGAACACTGTTATTTTAGCATCCGAAAGTTATGACAAGTGTCTATGCTTTGAGTATTGTCATCTTAACTTTTACGTCATCTAACTTTTCATCAGTTAAAATAACATTAACATCATCCGGATAGGATATCACAGTATTTTTGGACATTTTTTCGAATAGATCATTTATATAAATAATAAAATAACATAGAGTCCTCGTGGAACTTCAATGTTTATATCTTTATATTTACGACGTAGATTATTTATTCTAATATTTTGTTTTTATCAGATAGCTTAACAAAGTATAAACTTTATTTCTAATACCACTAATTTCTTTCTAATCTGTAAGTCTATTTTAGTAAAATATTATAATCCACCGAATCAAAAGCCTTGACTAAGTCAAGGAAAGTTACAATAGCTGGCAAACTTTTATCTATAGTATCATTTACAATATTTAGTTTTTACAAAGCATTTTAATTAACCATATCTTTCCGAAATCTATATTGCTATTTGGATAATAAACCGTTTCTTTTTATATAAGAACGTTCAAATCAAGTGGAATCTTCGATATAATATGACGAAAAAAAACAAATAAATTATTTTTGTTTCAGGGAAGTTACATTGATAACTTTACAAAAATTAAATATCGACTCATCTATTCGAACAATAATCGGACGTGCTGAGACGGCGTTTAGTGGTATATTAAAAACCCTTAGTGCCGAGTATACTAAAATCCAAGATTCTTTGCTGAGCATGCTGTGCCAAGTACTATCGGGAAATAGTTTAGAGCTTATGCTGTCTATAGCTACGGTAGAAGGGAAAATGAAACTGTTCGTGTCGAAACTAATAAAATACAACGAGTTTAGCAATCAAATCGGAGAAGTGCCGGATAAAACTCCCATAAACCGTCCGCTGCTTTTCGAGATTACGTTCCTCATGTTGTGCTCAATCGTTCAGACTTACGGCCCCGACGTGAGTATTGCAGTTTCATTATAATAATTTTTTAATGTACTAATTAAAAATTACTGGATAACTAGATGGTGCTAGAGAAAGGCGGCAATTCTTTCTTTGAACAATGGGTGCGCGAGTGCATGCCGCTGAAAGACAAGCCAAAGTCGCCATTCAGAATGCTAATGAATGTCGACCAGTCAAAAGTGGACGTGCTCCTGAATCAAATCAAAGCTGGTGAACTTGACCATTCGGTCAGTTGGAGTGTTATGTGCCACTCTGCTATGGGTGTCGCCAAAGATCTCCTTTATGCCTGGGAAAATGGAATGCTCAGTGCAGCCGAGGTCAAGAAGGTCCTCACTGAGTTCAGAAAGTCTTCTTGTTGTCTTCCAGTGTGTGCTGCTGCCTGGCTTTGCACTTACATGAGTACCACTCATCAAGATGCGTTTCTTAAACCTATGAACATGATATCAGTTCTCAGTAGCGATGAGAATAAGGATAACTTTTCGGAAAGGTATTTTTTTTGGGCCATCAGCCTTTTGTCTATATCTGTGTAGTTTAAAAAATTACGTATTTGCTTTTAGAACGAGTTTGATGTTCCAAATCATACGTAAAATGCAGTATGAGACTCATCCACCACCTCAATCCAAATCGAAAGTACTCGCATCTCATAGGTAAGAGAAGTTAACCACCTGAATATGAACATTTATGTAATTTATTAAGTCATAATATTAAGCTCACGTATTTTTTGCAGTATTATTTCGAAATATCCCATCTTAGAACAGCTACAACAGATTTGGCAAGGGATTCATCAGCGAGGCTGGATAAATATACAGGCCACTAAATCTCTCGAGTTTTTATTGAAAACTGGCGAGCCTGTGTGGTTTGTTTCAAATTTAGTCAAGGAATTGTTGAAAATTCAATATCAAGAGGAGCTTGATCGTTCCTTAGATTTAATATTTGCAATATTGCATCTTGATATTGAAAATTGCACGATAGCTTTAATAAAGAATGCATTGCCACAATATTTGTACCATGCACTGCAGTAAGTTTGGATTTACAATCAAGCATTCTTTTAACAAGTACGTAAAATATATGACTTAATATAATTTTTAGGGGAAAGAAACTGATAGAGCCGCAGTCATCTGCTCTAGCAAAACTCTGCGTATATTGTATATTTTCTACATTAGAACATACTAATAATAATCCAAAAGAAGTCAACAGTCGGAAACGCATGCGTAAAGAAGATCCTGATGATATGGATTTAGGAATGCCGCCTACGAAGCTTTTACGATTAAATGACGCAACAGATGCAACTACTTTGTTTAGTTCAAATTCTCCTCAGGCTCAAGGTACTATGAACGGACAAAAGTCTATTGTACTTCGCGAACCCTTGCTTACTGCGTTGGACGTACTGTTTGGAAATTTCAACTTTTTGGCTGGAAGAAACGGTGAAGTTTCGCAGCACACCCATTTTATATTGCAATTTCTTCAGTTAACCGTTCAATGTGGAAAAGATAGAGCGCGTTTGGTTCTTCAAAAGATGCCTCAAACATTGGTAAGTCAATCTTTGTGAATAAACCTTTACAACGTGAATGTAATAAGTTCATAATTTCATTTACTCATTGATTATAGGTTCCAAGTTTACTCAAAGCATTACCTGAGTTTTTTACGACAGACTTATTATTGCAACTACACGACGTTCAAACTGTCTTAGGTCGCAAAGCTATCGCTCGTGATTTGTGTATGTTGCGTAATATACAACTCAAGCCGACTAAGTAATGTATTAAAATTTAATTTTAACATGTAATTTCACACAAAACTTATTACATAGATTTTTTTACGTGTAATAAAACCACCTGATTTATAATATTTTGTATATTTCTTTTTCTATAATTACGTACTTTGAAAAAATTAATTTTAAATTAATTTTAAGTGTATCAAAAAACTTAAGTTAAACAAGAAATTATTTGTAACTTAAATTCTCAATTGTAATCTTTATACAGCAGTTGATCAGCAACTTTCAGAGCTGTTGCTTTATCAACCAATTTTTCCACAATTGCTAATCCAAATGCATAAGCAGTTGCAGGACCTTTGCTGGTAATAAGATTACCTATTAAAAGAGAATATCATTTTTGTAAAAATGAAAATGATATATACAATTTTTAAATAAAATTGTAAAAAATTCCAGTCTTTTTACCATCAGTAACAACAATTTGATCATCTATATAACTATAATCAGCTGTCAAGTCATTCTTAACTGATGGGTACGAAGTTAATTTTTTGCCTTTTGCAATTCCATGTGCTTTTAGTACATTCGGGGCAGCACAAATAGCTGCTATGACCTTGCTGTCTGCTTCTTGAGCTTTGAGAATTTCACCAACTTTCGTAGACTGTAAAGTAAAGTAAAATCAAATGGTAATTAATGTAAAAAATTAAGGTAGAATATAAGTACTAACGGCAGCCAAGTTTTTCCAACCGACTCCACCCGGGAGAATCACAGCATCGTACTTTTTGTTCTGAAGTTCGCCAATTTTTGCATCAGCGCAAATTTTAACATCTCGACTACATTTTATGCACTCTTTATCAGTAATGCTCGCCACGGTCACGGCAACCTATGGTATCCCAAGAACAATCAATAATTTTATACCAAACTAATTACTAAAAATTTCATCAGGTAAATCGATAATGCGATTCACAAAATAAATTGTTACAAGTGCATAAATTAGCATACACTTTTAGATTCAAAATGAAATGAAAGCCGGCAAGGTTATGTTCAAATAAAACTTTTGCAAGCACTTACTCCTGCCCGTCGTAGAATATCAACTGTAACGATAGCTTCCATTTCCTCGGCACCCTCAGCCAGCAAACAAACAGCAGTTTTGTTGGCCATCATCGAGAACAATGCTAACGAAGGTCGTTTGCAAAAATTGTATAAAAAATTGTATGTGACGAAAGTTTTGAACGACAGAGCAGTTGCCGACATCGGATAAGCTAGGCACTGTCCGCGCGTGACAATCGAAGGCAACGCTCTAGATAATGAAATAAGATATAACGCGACACTTATCTGCAACAGCTCTCGCGTGACGCGAAGCGATCATCCTCTTCCTCGAAAATTTATTCATTCAAGACTTTCATTTCACTTCATTTCCGAGACATATCTTTTGCTTTATTGTTAGTTGTTCCGCTTTTATTTTTGGCTCCTAGTGTATATATCTAATGTGTATTTGCGACTTGCACGTGAGAGCAAAAAGAATGACGAGTGGGGCGGGGGAGAGGGGGAATATCGATTTGTAAAAATACGGTCAATGCGTGTAGCTACTGATGAGTGAAATAAGAACTTTGTCAATCTGGTTTGGTTTACGGTGACGACAGTCATCTTGATCATAATGTCCTTTCGGGCTGTGTGATGGAAGAGCTAGATAGAGAGACGCAACGGCCGCCTGCTATTATTCAGCGTTTTTCCGGACGATAGGACTTTAAGAGAGCAGGCCAAGGGATTATGACGTGTCTATCTTTGTCTAAGCTGTACGAGGATAGTATAAGAGGCGTAAATCTTAAAGGGGGTCTGAACTGAGCAGAGCGCTTGGGGCTCTTTATCTCACGTCGGATCACTAAAATTTGGCTCTCTTTCTTTCTCTGTTTCTTTATACCTGCCTGTGTTTCGCTCGCACACCGTCTCGCAGGCGAATAATGATGCCAAGTCATTTTGTATGCTCTTGACTGCCGCTCAATTATTTGGCCAAGCTGCGAACCTCGAACTGCGATGTATTTTCTCGTGTGTAATCAGTGGATGCATTTATTGGAGCTCGCACGACGAATATCGCGCAATCATTGAATAACCCAGCAAGATCGAACGATAATCACACGAGAGGAGTTAAATTAAAAACGATGTGAGTGGTATGGTTTCAATGAACGCCCACCCGTGTCTACTTCGAAATGGATACGTACGAGTAAACGTGTCTGTGTGTATCTGTGTGCGCCTCAGCTCGGAATCGCCACACGCATACAAACACGCAGAGGTAGAGAGCAGGGACTGACTATACACTAGCCATTAAACTTTATGCGTCGTCTAATTGTTGGAAAACGAACAATGTCACGTCAAATAATCTTATATAATATTCTTCCGAGACACCTTACTCTGAAATGAAATACGAGTAGTAGCAGCTGATGGCGCGGGTCTGTGTGCGTATACTCGATCGTGTGCCACATACACATACGCGCGCGCCTGCACAGAGCCAATGATTTTCACGCTTCGGTTGATTGTTTAGAAACGAGACGGACAATGTTGTACGCCTCGCGAGACGCATTGCTGCTCGGGAAAATGCGACTTAGTAGTGTGTACAAGTGCAGCGCTTACGATGCTGTCCGCGCGTCGTTTACTACAGCAACGCGTTTCACTCGTCCATAAAGCGTTTGTTTGCAAATGACTGTATATGTTGCAAATGTGCACTCCACAGCCATGTAACACCGAGGCGCGCGCGGATCGCCGCCGCCGCGGTCGCGAGCAATAAACTCGAAGTATAAAGAGGAGAGAGAAAAAGCAATGTGCAGTCCTCGGCGTAATTATAATTGGCTACCTAGGCATTCAATTGCTCGCATCGCGAGTATATCTATATCGTTATACCACTGGTTATATTATTTGAACGTTTTATTGTCCTGTTATAAAATATCACAGTGGTCGAAGTTACGAGACAGAGAGAGAACGATCGAAATTATTGTCGATGCCGAATGACCCTTGTAAAGTAAGCTTTCACTGAAACTCAAAAAAGTCATCGCATTTTCGTGTAGCGAGAGAGAGAGAGAGAGAGAGAGAGAGAGAGAGAATTCGGGAATGGGAGTCAGGAGGAGTGATTAGCTCCTTGCGCGGGCGTGCGTGCATTTATTTACACGCGGAGTTAGCTTTCCGCCTGCCTCTCTCGGGCCTGTGCGCTTGCCGGGTATTATATACACTCGTCGTAGTACGGAGAGCCGCTAACCACACGTAAACTCAAGCGTGAGAGATTTGTTCCCCCTCTCTCCGGCGTTTCCGAGGCGAGTCACACGTATAGATATAGCAGGCGTGCATGCGCGTGCCACCGCGATTTTGGAACGCTCGGAACTGAAACGCGCACATCCCCCCTCGATATACCCGACGACGACCGAAGCAGCTGTGCTACGCGAAAGAGAGAGAGAGCGAGAAGAGAGAGAGAGAGAGAGAGAGAGAGAGAGAGAGAGAGAGAGATAGATAGATAGATAGAAAGCGAGAGAGTGGCTGCGAAGACAAAAGTATCCCCCCGCAAACGTATACGTATATAGGAGAAGTGTTTGTACGTGCGCGCGCGTGTGCGTTGAGTTGACTGTCAAGAGACAGTCAAAACTTGATCTCGGCTTTTTGCTGGACAAGAGCTGCTTATGCCACTCTGGCTCATGCCGTTGCCTTTTTCTCTCTCTCTCTCTCTCTCTCTCTCTCTCTCTCTCTCTCTCTCTCTCTCTCTCTTGCGAGCGCTCGTGATGTTTTCACGATGAGAACGAAGTCACGGCGCAGAGTCAATTTATCTGCTCGAGCGTTGCCACTTAGACAAATGATGACGACGGCCGCTGTGCCGCCCAGCGCCGAGAGAAGATCTGATTTGGCTGCTGGCTCTCGAAACTTGCTGTTTTTCGGACTTGCCTCTCAATTGCTGTGCTTAATTTGATTAGCACTCCGGATAATAAGCGTGTCACTTTCGTATTATCGAGAACTGATTAATTGGTCTTGTCTCGTACATCAATGTCGATTGCGACCCGCAACACGTACGACAAGTTTTTTTACGCAGCGATTGGCCGATGAGAAGGCAAGTTTGGAGATATTCTCGCATCTCCGCACTACGCAGCGGAGAGCAACATCGGACGCCAAATGACGCTTCGGGGAAAAGTTCGTTTTGTTCGTTATGATGGGCGCACCGCACGGCATCAAATAAAACTCGACGTTCTATACATATATATATCTATATACGCTCATTGGACTCTCCCTTCCATACACGCGTTTCGCCCCCATTACAATCTACCCTATCAAACGAAAAAGCTATGACGCCCTTAGATTCACGATTGAATTAATAAAACCTTGAAGTACGGGCAGATTGGATTTGCAGTTTACACGTGGCGCGGGGCTGCCTTGTACATCATCCGCGCAGGACTTTATTAAAATATGTCGAGAAGAAAATACGCTCCGCGGCGCCATAATACCGGAAAGCCCATTCGACGATCGACCGGTATGTATAATCTAAGTAGCTCGTATTAGACGAAATATAGTATTCATAGAGTCTATCGAGCGTGCGGCGAATAATTACGGAACGAGTTTCCGCATGAAAAATTGATTCAGTTATTACAACACACAAGGAGCTGCGATGACATGACGATCGATCCTCACGCCCCGACCAGCCCCGCACATCTCAGAAATTCTGATTGATATGTTCCGTCAGCGCTAATTTATCGGCCGTGAATGTCTGAATCAATGTAATGGAATGAGAGAGAGAGAGAGAGAGCGAGAGACGGAGAAAGCGTGTCGAATTGGTCTCGAGTCTCTCCATGATGACACGCAATCAATGCCATTATTATCAAAGCATTGCCGAAATCATTATGTCCCGCGCGGGCAAAGTGTACAGAGAGAGAGAGAGAGAGAGAGAGAGAGAGAGAGAGAGAGAGAGAGGTGACGACGACACACTCGAGAGAAGCAACCGTCTATCACATGCGCTCTCGACTCGATTCAATTCGAGAGATTAGATTAGTCAAAGAGAATGAGCGAATTGATCATCAAGGTGGACAATTATACAGAGAGTATAAGGACGTAGGTAAGTATGTGGTGTGGCGTGCGCGTGTGTGTTGTGTGGTGTGTATATATATCGTCGCGTGTCTTATGTACGTCGCCGAAATAGTTTAACCGCGCGAGCGAGTAATATCTCGCGCTCGACGCGCCGACAGAATTAGACCAAAATGATTTACGACTTTTCCGCGGATCCTCGCGCTCACGTATTAACGACTTCGATCGCGAGCTAGCAAGCCGAAGAGAAGAACTATATCTATGCGAATGAGTGCGAGAGCGCGTGCTCTCAAGAACATTGTAAGCGAGAACAGAGGCAAATATTGGCTCAGCGGGTGGCATTAAATGCAAATAAGCCTGAGAGAGAAAAGAACACGTGTCAAATAGTCGCTGTGGAGTAAGCAGCTCCAAAATTAGGCTCCCCTTCCGCTGGCGCGCTCGCGCATCCATCACACATCATACAGCCTTCTCATCATTCTTAACGTGCGTGCAGCAGCCCGCGTTCCAAGAAACTGTCCCTTTAAAAATGCATTAAATACCTAACGCGGCCAAGGCGGCAACGACTCTCTCATCACACACGTACTTGCACGCATACCATCATCTGCGGCGCTCCCGTATATACGGCCCGTATATATGCATGCAAGAACGAGCTAGCAAAACTAAGCATCCGAAAGACAGCGAGTGTAGGGTAAGCCTGACAGTAAGTGACGGTCGTGGTAACGTGTATGTGGCGGGCGCCTCTCTCAACCTCCGCTCAGCGCTGGCAGCAGCAAGCTGAAGCACCGACGAGAGAAAGAGAGAGAGGGAGAGAGAGCGGCGGCGGTGGCGGCGCGACAGCGGAATCCCGGAAAACGAAACACGGAGCAGTACACACTGCGAGAGCGAGCAGTGCAGTAACACAAGATGGCGGCGTTTGGGTGTCGTGGGTGCTGCTGCTGTGACTGCCACTAATACTATAAGGCATACATAGATAGATATAGATACACACGTAGGGAGGCAAGCAAAGCAAGTGCATAAAGATACAACACAACGACGACAAATATACAGTAGCTCGAAGGAGGCAAGCACACTCCTCACGAGAGTGTGTGTGTGTGTGTGTGTGTGTGTGCGTGTGTGTATGCGCTGCTGCTGGCAACGAAAGGGAGCTGCTACACCATCGCAGGACTGGCGAGGTTGGCAGGCGTCCTTGTGGACGTTGACGAAGACGAGGACGGTGGAGTTGCCTGGGACGGGTAGTGCAGCGTGTCGCAGACATCGCCGCCGCCGGCGATTAGCGCTGCGCAGCCCCGGCACCTTCGGACAATGCCTCAGGCCACCGATTTAAGCACCCCCCGCTGCTGCTGAGCACTCTGCTAAGGGCCGCTGCTGCTCTGCGCTCTCGCCCAGGTATATCATCATTACCACTGCTATCGCTATTTACTTGATCGTCATCCTAATTTTCCCCCTTCGTCCTAATCGCTGTCCGAGACGAGATGAAACTGTCCCGTGTGTGAGTGTGTGTGTGGGTATGTCTGTGAGTGCATACGAGAAAGTGTATGGGTAGACGCGAGAGTTAAGTGACAGATTCGACGCCGTAAGTACTCGTGGTGTGGCTGTGTCCATCTCTTTCTCTCCTGCTCGACTCTCGGGCCACCTCCTCTTTTGATCTCTCTCTCTCTCTCTCTCTCTCTCTCTCTCTCTCTCTCTCTCTCTCTCTCTCTCTCTCTCTCTCTCTCTCGTGCCCGCTCTCTTCATCTCAGTCGGTCCCTTATGGCCTTTCGTGTCCCCCTTTATTTTTGTCTTTCTTTTCTCTCTCTCTCTCTCTCTCTCTCTCTTTCTCTTTCTCTTTCTCTCTTTCTCTCTCTTGAGCCTGCGTTCGCTCGCTCTTTTTTCCTTGCCGCCGCCACCGCCGCGCGCGCTGTGAGCAGCACACTCGAGAGAGCGTGAGAGGGAGAGAGAGGTAGCATGTACGTGACCGCTGCCACTCGGGGAAGCTTTTCCGCAAGCGAGAGAGCAATGAGGAGAAAAGTGCGACGCGTGCGTCGTCTAATTCGCAACTGCCACCACCGCTCGCTGCATTGTTTACAGTCAAGTTTCATTCCGTCTCTGTCCATTTGATGGATGCCGGATGTGCTGCACCGAAATTTTATGTACGTAGCCATCGTTGCAAATCTCGCTCTTTCTCTCTCTCTGCCGACTGCTCACCTGCTCTCTCGACTCGAGTCTGTCCCCTCCCTCTCTCGCTCTTGCCGAAGAAAATCCTTCGCGTGCGCCGTGGCCGCCAAAGGAAGAGAGCACTTGAGAGAGTGTGGCACTTTTGCTCTGCACCACTACTTGCTTAGGCGTTCGTCCGCGCGCACACGTACATCGTGTATATTGCCTGCACCAACATCAAGACACGCGCGTCCGCGCGCGGGCGCCGCTTTGTTTTTTTGTACCATGAAAGAGTAGCTTTTAATTAAGAGTGTGTGTGACTCATTGACACTTGTCGCGGAAAATCGATAGCTCCTGTATATACCAGTGTGTATATACACAAGTATAGGTAGGTGAGTGGATATTTTGTTTGTTGCCCAGCCTGATTGATGTATCAGATGTGTCTTTGGTCTTCCCTTCTTATAAAAACTAGTGTGACAATCTGATAAGCATCTCATTGCTGTTATCTCTTTGTATCAAGTTTAAACAGCTTTATATGAAACTTATATTTATTTTATTTAGTCTGTTTGAGATGCAATCACTGATATTACACCGTTGTTCTATCTTACCTTACGTTCGAAAATCTTTTTGCAATAAGCACACTTCAATATGATATTTTGTTCTTAAGATAAATTCAAACATGTTATACCTAACAAAGTATTAATCAGAATGAATGTATTGATCAGTTGAATGTACAGTTTAGGGGTGAATGGTAGGATTTTCTCCAGCAAGATCGAAGCCAATCGAGAAGCTGGAGAAGGACAGTGGAGCTTCGGAGGAGGGGGAGATGTCAGCCGGCACCCAGGGCGAGATCAGGGTTGGTCCATCACACCAGGTATATATTGAATTTATCATTCAATACTAAAATATCAGTGCAAGCATATCTTATCATAATCTAGCTCATTCGCTTGCTTGCCAGATACATTGTATTTGTGTCAAAGAAACTTTGTCAGCAAAGTGATAAATGTACCTCCAATGCTCAACAATTGTCATTTCTGCCTCATTCAAATCCCAATCATAAAGCAAATAAAATTAATTTAATAGTCCTGCTATTGATACTTTGTACTTTTCAACTTGATGATACAGTTTGCAATCAGCATCTATAATGAGTGGTAAATTGAATTTCATTATGACTTATTAATAAGACTATGTCATGTATAGTTCAACATATTAATCAATTTGATTACTTTATAATTCATTTTATTTGTGTGATAAGTGATAAAGAAAATTGTATAATTTCTTTTAATTCTTCCAAGAATATTCATGATTTATAAAGTTACTTGTTAGACAGAGTGTACTTGTGGTACAGTTTTATTAGCGAATAACTTGTTATAACTTTGGATGATAATAACTTATTGTAATAGTTGAAACTAAAAGTAATAATAATTTTATAGGATGTCTACTATTTCCACTCCATCTTTATGAATATGGTATCTGTACATGAAACGGTGGATTAATTATTTGCGTATGTTGTTAATCATTGAATCCGTTGGAAAATCGTTTCCTGAAAAAAAAAAAGTAAAAATAAAAATCTATTAGACAATTGGAAGACTGAGGTAGCTCTAGTGTAGGTGTTTGGATGATTAAGTGAATTTGGCAGCTGTGCCAAGTGGAACGCGCAGAGAGAGAGAGTAGAGAGAGAGAGAGAGAGAGAGAGAGAGAGAGAGAGAGAGAGAGAGAGAGAGAGAGAGGAGAGAGAGAGAGAGAGATGCGGAGCATCGAGAAAGAAAAGAGAAGTGTGCAAATAGTTGTTGCTGGTTGCAGGCCCATTTGCCGGAATATCGTCCGGGTATCTCTCCTGGAGAGTTGCCTCCTGATCCAGAACTAGAAAAAGACCGCGAAGAGCTAAGATGGGTACCGGCGATGACTTTGGATATGGACCTGCTGATGTATCTGAGGGCAGCTCGTTCGGTTGCTGCCTTCGCTGGTATGTGTGATAGCAATTCGCCAGACGGTTGTGTAATAGCATCCCGTGACGATACCACCATCAATGCTCTCGACACCTTGCACGATTCGGGCTATGACGCAGGCAGAGCACTACAAGCTCTCTACAAATGTGCCGTGCCGAAAATTGATAAAAAGTGGTCTGACGAAGAAACAGTGAGTGTCCTCCTCCCTTTTCAACTCTTGCAACCCTTCTGTGCATAACCATGTCTCTTTCTTTTACCGTCCTCCAGAAACGCTTTGTTAAAGGCCTACGACAGTTTGGAAAAAATTTTTCACGCATTCGCAAGGATCTCCTACCGCACAAAGACACGGTAACTATCAAATTTCTCGATGTTATCGATATACATGCATAATTCCAAAACAGATCTTGCCTGAGCGCCATTTAAATACATGAATAATCATCTTACAAACTATGAGTAGTCGTGTATAACTCTCGCAAATTGAGTAACAGCTTGCTAACTGTTTCTTACACTAAGTAAATATAGCTCACACTCTGTACTCTTGCAATGTGATTTAAATATGTTTAGCCTTTAATTTATATCCTGACATCGAGAATATTGATGTGGTTCATTCTAATTACGCGATGTCGAGTCGCTCGATTATCAACTGTCTCAATAGTTTCGCTATAATAAAAATGTATGTACAATATGTTTTCAAATGATTCGCTTTTAAGTATTATAATCATGCATAATTTTCCATTGCTAAGCACTTATTATTGCTTTTATTCTAAATATGTCTCGTATTTCGATTAAACATTACTTCGATAAAGATAGTTACGCAATTAGTATTGACCGTAAATAAAATAAATCGAGTTTAAGATAAACACTTTAATATTTTACATAAGTCCAAGTCATTATTTTCTAACGACGCTGTTATCGTCTCTGCTCGACAATTTGTAAAAATTTAATCGACGATGTATTATCATTTCCACTAATTACGCTGTTATTTCGCGTATAAATTCGAACAAAGTAGTTATGTTTATCGCTTATGACGTAGATATATACGAGCTATAAGTAGACTGCATTCCAAAAGATGAAGACGAGATCAAATTTTGTTTCGCTTCTCTCACTTGACAAGAAGAGAAAAAAGATACATACGTGAAATAGTTGTTCACGTACGTATCTTTGCAAAGCACCGTTTTATCAGAAACCTTGTCACATCAAGAGATAAACTTAGAAAGCTACGCGAGATAATATCGGCAAACAATACAAAGCGATTACGACTTCCTATAAAATATTAGCACAATTGTCTCGATATAACCTGGTTTATTCAATTTAACACCGAATAAACTTATTGTCTTTCTCTTGTTAATCTTGCGAAACCTGCCTCTCATGTAGCCCGACCTCGTCGAGTTCTACTATTTGTGGAAGAAGACCCCCGGGGCGAACAACAACCGACCGCATAGGCGACGTCGGCAAGGTTCGTTACGTCGAATACGCAATACTCGCAACTCGCGCGCAGGTACGCCGAAGGAAGAGCCAACGACGCCGACTGGTGGCGAAGCCCCATCAACTGTCACAAGCCGCGAGGTGAGTTGTAGTGGAGCTAACGAGTCTGAGACGAGTAGCAACGGACTCTCGACCTCGGCCGGCCCCACTGCAAACTCTAGCAGTAACGCCAACGCTGGCGAGGTGAGCTCGGTCACTGAGGACGATAATTCTGAAGAAGACAGCGACTCACGCGACACGAACACCAACGGCGTCACACACTCTTGCCAACATTGTTTCTGCACTAGCTCCAAGGACTATCAGGTGCGTCGTTCGATCATTGTAGCTAATTGTTTTTTGCTAATGATGCGATTTCTCGTTTCAAGGTAACCGGGAAGGACAGATTACTCCTCTGTGCGGAATGTCGAGCACAGCTGAAGAAAACGGGCGAGCTGCCACCGGCTCCGCCCTACCTTTTCCGGCCAGTGCCGGCTGAATCGCCAGATTCGCCCGGTAGAATGCGCACGCGGAATAAGGCCAAGGAAAACCCGAGAGCGTCAAGACCACGTAGAGCCGGTGGTAACGAAACCCCAGAGCAAGAGAAGCAGCAGCAGCAGTCGTCCCAACAGCAGCAGCAGCAGCAGTCCTCGCAATCATCGCAATCACAACAGCAGCAGTCGAACTCCAACGATAAGCCCAGAAAGTCCAAGTCTTCCAAGCAGGACACACCGAAGAAAGGCCAGAAGCGTCTTTCCAGCCTCGACGATCTCGACGAAGACAAGGATATGCAGAAGCGCAAGAGACCCCAGGAGCGGCCCGAAAGTCCTTCGGAGTCGCTCACCACTGACAGTAATTCCCTTATGGATGAGCCCGAGCGCGGTGAACCCGAAGCCGACGCGCCTGACAGCAGCAGCGGTAGTGCCAGCGCTGCTAGTAGCAGCAGCAGCAGCAGTAGTAGTGGCTTGGGCAATGGCAGCTGCGTGGTCAGCACAGCCAACGCTGTTACTCAGGTCGTTGTGGCGAGCAGCAGTAGCGCGGCCGACGGTATCGTACCGGTTAGTCCCGCGACGCCGCCCGCCATCGACGAGCCGGCTATACAGCCGATTTCACCACCGGCCCCACAGCATCAGCAACAGGCTCAGCAGCAGTCAGCACAGCAGCAGTCGGTCGTCCCACCGCCACCAATGATCCAAAGTCTACCGATATCGGTGCCGGTGATACACGCACGCGACGCCCTCGCTAGCGCCATGGAGAAGAAGCCCAAGCTTGAGGAGCCTATGGACATGAAGGAGCCGACGCAGATGATGGTGGACGAGAAACCAACGCCATCTATGCAAATGAAGCTCGAACCTCTGCCGATGAAGCTGGAGCCGGTGCCGATGAAGCTGGAACCGATGTCAATCAAGCTTGAGCCGATGTCGATGAAGCTCGAGCCGCTGCCTATATCCATGCCACTGCCCATGCCCGCTGTGCCCATGGACGCAACTACCTCGCCGCCAATCAAGGAGGAGCCGGTCGAGCCGCCCTCACGAGACACAGTCTCTGAGCCGGCGCCGCCTTTGCCGCCTCCACCACCCACGGTGGCCGATCTCAGCCAACAGACGATGCCGAGGAACCTGTCGATGAGCAGTTCTGCGGGCTTGCCACCGATTTCGCACTCCGCTGCCGCCATTGTTTCTGGTCCAGCGGGCATGCCAACCAATAATCATCCTCTTAACATGCAATATACCGGGCCGTCGGCGATCGTATCGGCTCCGCAGAGCGTGCCTCAAAATTTATCGGCCACGGGCATACATCTGCCGCCGGGCTTGCCCCCGCCGCCGCCTAGTCTTATACAGTCGGCCAGAGATCTCAGTCAGACGCATCCCGAGAACATGTCTACAACCACGATATCGTCTAGTCTGGGAATGCCGCCTTTGGGTTTGCCACCGCCTCTAAACCTCAACGTTGCACAGAACCTATCGGCAAGTGGTCTGGCACCCCCACCTCTGCCACCGATGACTGGTTCGCCGCAGCCATTGGGTCTGACGGTTCTATCGGCGGAGAGAATGATGCAACCCGACCGAATAATGTCGGATGACAGAATGCCACCGGACAGGATGAGGGATAGTAGGTTGCCAGACAGGATAACGGACAGGATAGTGGACAGAATCGGACAGTCGGACAGAATGTCCGACAGGTTATCTCATGATAGGAATCGGGATAGCATGTCCGATAGGTTATCCGACAGAATGCCCGACAGAATGCCCGACAGAATGCCTGATAGAATGCCCGATAGAATGTCCGACAGAATGCCACCGGACAGAATGTCTGACAGGTTAGGAGAGCGCGACGATAGAGAACCCGAACCTCCGCCGCCACCGCAACAGACCAGGCCAGAACCAATCAACATGTTCCAACCCATACAGCCTCCGCATCCGATGATTTCGAGTGACAGGCCAGGGCCACTTTACAGTTTGGCTGGCACACCTCCTATGGAACCGCAGAATCTGAAGATTAAACAAGAGATCGTACCACCCGAGCCTGATCCTCTGCAAAGCCTCAAAGAGGTCAAGGTTCCTGGTTATCAGACTGGCTTCCCAGGTAATTCTTTGTCACTGTCATTATATCAATTATGTATTCACTGCCGTTGATGTTATTTAACCGCTCTCTTATATTCATAGGCCCGAGTCTAGAAAACATAAAGAAAGATCCAGACAGTGCGATCGGACGTGACAGTAGCAGCAGTAAACCGCCGACGCCGAGCAAGCACTCGTCTTCGTCATCTTCCTCGAATCAGCCGCCATCGTCACAGATGCAATCGGTCGCGGCATCGCCACAGCCAACTCTTCCGCCGCCACCGACGTCGATTCCCCAGCCGGTGATGCACCCGGTGCAACAGACGAGTCCGCACATGGCTCACCCCTTCCACCCGCACCACCCGTTGATGCACCCATCGCTGTTCGCTGCCATTCACCCGTACCACCCACACTATCCAGGCTATCCGGCGGTCGGCGCTTACCCTGCCTTTCCGGCCTATCCCTATGGTCCGGTGCCCCACGCCATACCACCGCCATCGCCCCAGCGCAGCGAAGCGACCACCATGATGACAGCCCATCACTCAAGCAGCACCACGTCGAGCGTGTCGACGCGCGAGGAGGGCGAGAACCTTATCGCCACCCATCATCACTCGTCATCGTCGATGCACCAGGCTACCACTTTGCATCACGATAAACTCCTCACCATTTCATCACATAGCTCGCACAGCAGCTCACACAGCAGCTCCCATTCGTCGCAGCACAACAGCCAGCGCAACAAACCCTCGTCGTCGCTAGTCTCTTCGGCGGCCTGCCTCAGCTCGTCGAGCTCATTACACTCGCATTCGCATCATCGACCGCCGCAGTCGCAACCGCCACAAATCGCGCCGCTGCCGCCGGAACCCAAGATGGAGCCTGACATGGAGCCCGAACCCGAAGAGCCTCCGAGTCCGCGTTCTGGACCCTCACCCGAGCCTCGCATCGAGGATTCGGAGTGCCATCGCTCGCAGTCGGCTATCTTCCTACGGCACTGGAACCGCGGCGAGAATAACTCGTGTGCACGCACAGATCTGACCTTCAAACCTGTGCCCGACTCCAAGCTTGATCGCAAACGAGCCGAGAGAACGAGGAAGCAGGCGGAGCGAGAGCGGGAGGAGAGAGACAGAGCGCAAGCACAACAAGCGAGAAAAATGACGACGCCGGAAAAGCAACCGGAAACCTGTAAACCTCCGAGTCGGGGTCCCATGGATTCTGTGGTCTCGCCATACGACAGATATGCCGCCAGACCTGGTGCTTACACAGACACTCCAGCGCTTAGACAACTCTCCGAGTACGCGAGGCCTCATGCAGCTTTCTCACCCGCACGGCATCCTGGTCCGCAAGATGCTATGCTACACTACATGTATGGACCCGTGGCAAGGGAGAGGCTTGAGATCGAGCATCTAGAACGTGAGAAGAGGGAACGAGAGATCCGGGAACTCAGGGAGAGAGAACTCAGTGATCGGCTCAAGGTAGGTTCAAATGTTATTTTTTGTTATTGTGTATTTTCGATCGGTAGTAAGACTGCGGATTGTCAGTTTTGCTCGTTTTCAAAGTGTTCGGTATTTCTCAACTGACAATTTATTTTTATCATTTAAATATTTTTACTTGACATGCGACAATGAGATCACTGTTGAGAAATCGTACTTCTTATCCGAGCACTTGAAATAAACGAAGCTGATTTACATGTACTTAATATTCAAGAGTCCGGCCAAGAGTCAGACTAGCAGAGGACTTTGAACCAATGAATTTTAAATTATCCGACTTTGACTGTATGTTTTTTACGTTCGTGCATTCGATATAATAATCCAGAGTTTTTTTTCGTTACAATTAAAGTAATAATTTCGGTGACCATAAGCTAGTGCAATCACTGCAAATATTTTTAACAAATCTTTTTGAAATTTATTATTTACCATTTAATTTCTGTTTAAACAAATATCACGCAATAATCATTATTCTTTTTTCTTCAGGAATGAAAATTTAAGTAAAATGTATTTTTTTATTTTAGTTCCAAAAATACTCGATCAATAGCCTATTTCCAAGCGTAAGTTACAGTTTGTTTTTGTTATCAACTCATGCAAAACAATCATCAATCCATCTACCTTCACAACTTTTAAATGCATTTACCTCGACATATTTTCAACTTTTATTAATTGATACTGACGTTTCTCATACTTCAATCACGCCAACTACAGACAGAATGTTATCCTCTCATTTTGCCTAAAAAATAATCACTAATCACTTCATAAAGCATTCATTTCAATTTTAACTAAATATCTCACTAAAGTCTGCACAAACGCTTTTTCACCTACTAATCGCCATTTCAATCACATCTTCACGCCAAGTGCTCATATTTTTCTCCATATCTAATCTAAATGATAATTCCTGATAATTAATCATTACACTTGCCAACAAAAAACCTACTTTATCGATTATTTTATCTTTTGAATTACTGTTTTTTTTTTCTTTATCAAGGTGTTCTTTTTCTGTATTTCTATAAGTTAAAAAAAGGCATGTATTCAAGAGTTTTTCTGTTGTATCTACATTAAATTTAATATACAATGTTTAACTATTGGCTTTTCACTAGAGCACACGAAATTCAAGCGTTTCATCCAATCGTTTTTTTTTCTCAAAGCGTCCTTTGTTAAACGCAACTGTGCAATAGATTTCTTGTTTTTCTTTTCCAGGAGGAGTTGTTGAAGGGTGCCCCAAGGCCAATGGCAGCGCCGGTCGATCCTCACTGGTTAGAAATTCACCGACGGTATGCAGCCAGCGGTGGATTAGCTCCTCCAGGTCCATCGGGTCCACCGCAAGGCTTACAATTTGGTCTGTACGCCGTACCGCCAGGACATAGCCAATTGGATAGGGAACGTCTTGAGCGTCTGGGTAAATATATTTTTTTTTTCGCATCAAAACCTTCTTCATCGCTCATCACATTGTTTTTTATCACATCAAGCATGAAATCCAATGCGTCCAGGTATATTTCAGGGTAAATTCAGTTCGGGTTTTAATCATAACGAAAATCGAAGAAACGATTGACGAAACTCGCAATTGAAAGTAGATATGTGTAAGCTCGCAGTCTATTAATTAGCGATGACATGGTGTGGAACTGTCACTATACTTAATAGTGATAGATACTTGAAAATTCGATAGGTTGTTTATTGCATAGGCATTTTCATTCCTTGCTGTACTGTAGAATTATTTACTTGAAAAGTTGTGCTTGGTTATTGTAGTTTTACTTCTTCAATCACATTATACTTTCCGATGGCTTTCCGGGTAATCCTAAAGAATTTTTTTGAGTATTATATTATGTTTATATTCAGGGTCGTCAAACTAAACATATATATTGTGTACGATCAAAATCTGAAAGTATAATTTTACGGCATAGGATTATGTACGGTCAAACATCCTCACGTAACGTTATCGATCGGACAGTTTTTGGCATTCAGACGTGCCATATTTGCTCATTCAAATGTCATCTACAGATTTTTCTTTTGTTATCGCTATAATATTGTCGTTCTGATCATCGCACCGTCATGGCCGTCCATCATTAGAGTGAGGCAGTAAAACTTGTTTATAACTCTTTATTGTCTGAATATTAACAAGGAAGCCACTCGGAAATACGAGTACTTTTATGCGGACGACATATGTAACTAATTGTTCAGAAAGGAAAACACATTTATAAGGCTTCTTCGTTAGGATAATCGCCGTGTAAATATTGTTTACTATATCTTCGTCGTCTACACTGTAATTGTTGGTGGATTTTGGTCATCATCGTGAATATGATTCGTCCTACGCTTTATAAATTTACTTGTCACGCAAAATGCAGTAAGACAAAAAAAATAGTCTTCCGTACGAGATCATTGAAATTGTCGGAACATAATCCCCACGCGCGAGCCTGGGTACGGTCAATTTCCGCTGACGGTGATCGTCGAAAACGTGGCACGCGAGATGGAAGGGTAAAAGCGTTAACGAGGCAGCACTCGAGAGCGTTAATTAGTGCGCGGGTGTACGGGTGGAATGGGGGGGGGGGGGCAGTGGAGAGGCCGCTCGCTCGGCGACTCCGTACGGCATCAGCTCGTCTCATGGCAGCGCGGCGCGGACTCCTCGAGCGCGAGTAGACGAAAAAAATGACATTTCGATGTGTTGTTGATGATGTAGCGATGTCGGGTTTGCTAGGAATAGCAGCGGCAGCAGGAGCCGCGGGAGCGGGCTCGGCGGCGGCAACGGCAGCGGCGGCGGCGGCAGCGGCGGCGGGCCATCCGTCGGCCAGCAGCCATCCGCACGCAAGTCAGCTTGACGAGAGGTTAGCCCTGGCCGCCGACCCCATGGTCAGGCTGCAGATGGCCGGCATCTCGCCCGAGTACCACGCCCACACCCACGCGCACACCCATGCCCACACGCACCTACACCTGCACCCGGGACAGCAGCAGGCCGCGGCCCAGCAGCAGGCCGCGCAGCAGCAGCAGCAGCAGCAGCAGGAAGCTGCGGCAGCCGCCGCTGGATTCCCCCTGCCCGGTAAGTGTCCGACGCTTCGTTGACGAGCACGCGCGATTGAAGATCCGACGCGACGCCCATCGCAACGCGTAGCTCGCCGCTCAAGCACCGGGGCAACCCGCTCCGGCGATCGCGTTTGCATGGGCTGCCGAGAAATGTACGTTGCGCGCGGAGGCGCGACCGTAACGCTGCGCCATGCGTGCCTCTTGCGGTTCGCGAGTGTCAGGCGGCAGACGGGCTTGCCGGCCGGTCGGTCGGTCGGTCGGTCGGTTGGCTCGCCGTGCACGCGAATCAATCGCGGCCGACGCCGAGACGAGAACGCGTCCGCGATGGGCGTCCGGCGAGCGAGGCCGCGCACGGCCGCCGCCAGCAAGACACGCTCGGCACGGGCCTGTGCGCGCGCGCGCGCGCGTCCATTCTCCGGTGGATGAATTAAAAGCGAAGGGCAATATCCCTTCCTCCTTGTGTGCTTGTCTGTCCTTGTTGGCGTGTAGCGGCGTCAGGCGGCAACTACCCCAGGCCAGGTCTGATTGGGCGCGAGCCGACGCTCGCCCTGCACCCGGCCGAACTGCTGGGCAGGCCCTACGCGGACATGGCCGCCGCTGCCCACCACGAGCAGCTACAGCGTCACCTCATGATGGAGCGCGAGCGCTTCCCGCCCCACGCCTCTCTCGTCGCTCACCACGAGGAGTACATAAGGTTCGTATCTCCCCCCCCCCCCCCCCCCACACACACACACCCCACCCCACCCCTAGACTCAATCGCTCTCCGCGTTCGTCCCCTCGGTCTTGGTAGAAGCGCGCCCGTGCGCGCTTTCGTCCGTTCTAGCGGACGCACCGTGCCGAGTCCCGTCCTCGACTCGCCTCTAGTTGATTCTTCGTCACGGATACAGCCGAACAGGCGGCTTGCTCATCACCTGCTCGAGAGCCGATTAAATCGCACACTGATTTGTTTTATCGCGGACGCGACATTTTCAAGCTGTTACGTCTGTGTATCCCCACCCCCTTCATTCTTACTCTCGAGTGGACCGTCATTTTTTCTTTTTAATTAACTTTTTTCGTCACGCTCGAGCTATGCGAGATATGCCGCGTCTGAAATATGGAATGCTCGCGAATAAGGAGTATATTTCATTACCGCATTCCTCTCAAATCTTAGTGAAATGAAATTTTGCTGTAACCATTGCGTTGAATATTTACGCCTGCATTACTCGGGTTTTATTCCTTTCGCGCTTGATGATCAGAACGCACGTGCATATTTCATTACGCTCAATTATCAAACTGGCTTTTCCCATAAGTTATAACATTTCATTTTATCTCCTCGAATATTCTAGCCTCCTGTACGTGGAACGAAAGAAAAATTATTCGCGAGTGTTATCGAAACGCGATGCGATCCTCTCCCCTCGGCAAACTACGAAAAGCGAGAGAGAGAAAGAGAGGGAAAAACAGCGTGTATTATCGACCCGCGTCGTGTCGGTCGAAGGTGACTAAACGCTCCCCGTATGCTTTTTTTTTCTTTTAGACAACAACGCGAACGCGAGCTGAAAGTTCGCGCAATGGAAGAAGCCACTCGTGGATCGCGCCCTTAGAGAAAAGAAAGCCGATAAGCGCTTCGAACTGACGAGAACGAGAGTATAAGCAAGCGAGCATCTCGCTCGCTCACTCTCTGCTTCTTTTTTTTGCATATTCTGCTGCTGCCACCCCCGTCGAGCCGAAGAGACTCAAGCACATTTCACAGTACACAAACACGCGCAGCGGAGAGGAAGCTGCATGATGCAAAGGAAAATGATGAAGATCGTCGACGGCAAGATTTATATAGTGATGATTATGGCGACGATGAGCGGCTTATAGATTCATTTTTTATGATTATGATTATTATTATTATTATTATTACTATTATTATTATTCGTTTTTATCTTGGAAAGAAAGCTCGGCGCGAATCCTTATGCGTGATCATGTACGTATTTTGTAGGGAAAAATGTTGAAAATAAGAGAAAAAGAGACGTCAAAGGCGATAATGATATGCATGGGCGAGAGCAAGGGAGAAAGGTAGACGACGACGAGGGAACTTGTGCGTGCGAGAAAAACAAATAAATATCATGTGTAATAAGATATAAGTATAGTGTAAAGAGAGTGATAAAAAAAGGACAATGATCAACGGATCCGCTTTTCTCTCACTCTCTCATAGCCCTTCACTTCCAGCTTTTGATAACATTTTAATTTTTATTCCGGTTCGTGACAGCCAACAATTCCACTGATCGACTATATTGATTGTAATTTTTATATAATATAACTGCTCTACCTTTTGCGTTAAGTCTCGGTGTTGCATACGTATCGTACGAACAAGCGTGCAAGGCAAAAGTTACGCGAGTGAGAAAACGAAAATAAAAACAATTAAATAAGTAAAGTTAAATAAGAGAGTAATATAGAAGTGAAAGGACTACGATGACGAGAATTAGAGAAGGCGCGGTTCAACTGTCGTGTAACAAGTTCTATGTAAATACAAGGAAACACGCAGCAATTGATATATATTATAAATATGAATATATTCTACGGAAATAGCTAGCGTAGCCTAGCCATTTTAGATTATAGCGGTCGAATTCGACTGAAGCAAGCACTAGGCGATATGTATATTGATTTTTGAGAATCGTGCGCGCGTATACACTTTTACAATCGCGCCTCAACTGGTGGCAATTACTCATGTGCTCAATTTCTTCGAATGATTTTTTTTGTCTTCTGTTTCTCTCTCTCTCTCTCCCCCCTCTCTCTTTCTCTCTCTTTCTCTCTCTATCTCTCTCTCCCTATCTTTATATTTTTATGGTTATTATTTAACAAAGCGAACAGGCGATATTAAGTATGAGGTTTATAACTTAAAATGACGCAGAAAGCTGAGAGCCATGGCAAGTCTCAAACGCTCATATACAGAAAATATACATAAATATATATGTATACTAACACCAGTGTCTTTTCTAATACGTTTGTACTTCCGCGCCGAGCAAGGCACAAGAAGTAGACTGTTTCTATTCTTTCTTCGCGTAGAATGGCTTTTTTCTCTATCTCTCTTTCTTGTAAGACTATTGTGGTATTGTCTATATTTTTATCTCTTTGGACGGTATTATATATACGTATACAAACTTTTTAATCCAACTCCATCCTCCTCTTTTACATGAATTCTTCATTAATTAATTTCCACCGCGTTTCTCTTTAATTTTTAATAGATAAAATGAAATTTTTGTAACTTAGTACTTGTAAGCTAAGTTGTGAGTATTGAATATTGCATTTCATTATATACACTTGTATATTTAACGAAAAAATCAGAAAAAATCAGTGAATGCATAAGCGGAGAATCGTATTGAGAATCCGATTCATGAAAGAAAATGAACAATCTCACGTTAATATTACGAAGACAAACAGGATAAAAAAATATGGTAAACATAGCGAACTATTATACAATGCATTTTTTTGCTAACGCGTGGCAGGCTGATTGTATACTGTAAACATTTGCAACAAAATGACCAAAGTAAACGTTTGTAGATTGAAAAATAAAATGATGAAAAAAAAGTAATGATAAAATAAACGAGGGAAATAAAACCCAAAATGAGAAAGCGTTTAACCATGCGACGTTTTTTGTGCGCGCGCGAGCACACGCGCCCGACATTAAAGGACTGGATCGAATAACTACTTCCGCACTTGGATCGAGCGGACCAGCTCCTGAAAGTATGTAATTGTCGCTAGGCGTGGTGCCGGCTTTTCAGATTAAAAAAAATACTAACAAATTTTGTACTTGTAAAAAACTGTCAGCAAGGAAGTTTATAATGGTTTAAAGTTTTTATGCATTTTTGCCTGCTAAACACGAATTCGCTATCGACATTTTTCCATTGCCCTCCAGTTATTTTAAATTACAACGCGAATTTTTTATTGTGGTGAATTTCTACAGTTTGAAAAACAAAGGCTTCTGGGAAATTGTGACGTTGGATTCGTGTTGAGCTATTCAAATAAATGACTAGGAATATACATACATGATTTTTCAATGTTTTTTTTATGGATAAGTTCTTCGTAAAAATATATAAAATTCTACAAAGAAAAAAAAATAGAAAATTCAAAATAGACAGTTATTTACAAAAATTATTATACGGTTGTTTCAATCTACTGTTAGCACATAGTGGTATGTTTATTTTTATATATGTACCAATCTGAGATTACATTCCCTGTAAACCTATAATTTTTTCCAACTTTAGAAATTTACCACAACTACAAAAAAATTGGGTATTTTATGTTGCTTATTAAAAAAATTTGAAGACTGCAGACAATTTTTGAAGCAGAATTTATATTTAGCAGGTTGAAACACATAAAAATATACATATGGCATGTCTTAGTCAGAGACTTCTTTCTGTGTGCTGATGTAAAAAAACAACGCAATACGATGCTTGGCCAGTTTAACTTTCATGTAGTGCCTCACAGTTTAACTTTTTATATCTACGACAATATTATATATAAATTTTTCGCAATTTCTAGACACAGTTTAAATCATGATAAACAACTTCCTGGCTGACAGCTTTTTACAATTACAAAATTTGTTGTTATTTCAATCCGCGAAGTCGTCTCCAAGTCTAGTGGTGATTGCATACTTTAAGGGGCTAGCCCGCTCGACTCGAGTGCGGAAATGGTTATCTAATCGGGCCCTTCAATTTCGAGTGCGCAAGCGAGATGACGCCAAGAGATATATAATGTTCTGTAAGATGTAAATCACTTTTTAGATGATATTTGTAAAAGAGCACGGTCAGTGTCTGCATAATCCCATTACTGTAAACACTGAATGGGCTTTCGACAGACTATTATTTTTGTTTGTTTTTTTTTTCAAAATCACACTGCGAGCATATAGACGCGTTATCTGATTTTCTACGAAAATCAATGACGCATCGCAATGTCTTTTTAATAGTAATAACGAATCAACAGCTCGAAAAAAACTCAGAATATAGATGGGGGAAAACATATGTATAAATTTTAAGTAAAAGAATAAAGAGATTAAGCGGAGCGAAAATTTAAAAAATGTCCCTAAGGATAACGTAATGGAATGATGATCGATTGTAACGATTGATTGAATTATAATCTAACTTATCCGCAAACACTATACGTTAATATTTCTTACCGATTGCCAGGCCACAATGACAAAAGAGAAACCGATGCCGTTGATTGTCCACCGATATTCCCTTGCAAAACCATTTTTTCTTTTTTTTTCTCCATATGTACCCGTCCTCGCGTCCAATTCGTTGCCCTGTATATCCCATCCCTTCAGACATGCCGATACTTAATCTATACAGTATTTGAAGAAATATTATTACACTGAAAGATATTATAGGCAGAGTGAATTACTTTGTATTTTAAAATAAACATTTTAAAAAGATTTTTTACTTTGTTTTTCATTGTGAGACCTGGAGAGAACCAAAATAAGACAAAACGTAATTTTATTTTTAATGCCGTATTTAGTTGCACGAGTACGACGACGCGGCTGAGTGAAAAAGCATGTTAAAAATAATCTTGAAAGCTTTTAAAATCATAAAAGGCAAGTGCACACTCGCACGCGGTGAAACTTTGTCACCAATTTCTTTTTTGTTTACGCGACTCCTTTATCTCTCGATCCCCTCTGTTTGAATGTTCACTATTATCATTCGAAAAGATTTACGTTTGAACAGTACTCTGTAA